TAGCATTGTCAGCATCTATAAAGTCTATGGTCTGACCCCAGTGAGCTAGGCCTATGAAACAGCAAACAAATGTCTTTCAATGACGAAAAACAGTTAAAAATTGTCCTGTTTACATTAAAGGAGATACATTCCCTTAACAAGAAACCCAATCCTGCAACAGAATCTGTGTGTTCTTTTTGAGGATTTGACAAGAGCAACTGGGCGCAGGTCGGTGTACTCTGGTCCCCTCTGGTGTCTGCTGTGGCATAAATACGGAGTTGACTTGTTTGAATGGTGAGCTGAGGCGGTGCCAGTCTCTTTGGGTGGCCACACTTCTCATGCGGGACACTTCCTCCACTCTCCCACTGACGGCTGACCCCCGAGTGAAGGCACGGGGAGTTTCTAATGCCCCTGCTACAGCCCGCCTGGGAACCACTGAAATTACACCCTGAATATCTCAGACACATACTTTTTAGAATTAAACATTAAAGGGTGTTTATGACGTGCTGTGGTTGTGTGAATGGACGTGTATGTGTGAGTTGTGTGTTTGTGGTTATGAGCTACAGCCTCAGTCCTGGATCTACAGCCTCAGTCCTGGATCTACACAGCCTTGGTCTCAAGGGCCAATTGCGGCCCAAAATGAAACGTTAATGTCAATGCGGCCCCCACTGAGAGTCTGTGCAAATATTACATGTTAAAAATGGTATTATAAGGAATATTATCAAGAAAACAGCCACAGCATTTATTTTACCACAAACATTGGACCCTGAAAGCAACAAGCATTTCATTGAATTCATGAATTAAAAGTAAATCCAGTCTACAACACTGAGCCTCATTTATTTTTGTTCAGTTTGGTTTAATCCAAGCAGCTGGAGAATGTTGTTCATATAAATATATAAACAAAAAAGAATTATAAAGTAATTATTAAAATAATAATTTTGGATAGGGAAGTCTAAGCTTGACTGAGCGCCTCACCCTACCTCTAATCTCCAAGGGATGGCCCAGCCACTCTGTGGAGGAAGCTCCGACCGCTTGTATCCACAATCTCATGCTATGGTTTCGTTTGACCATAGGTGAGGGAGGGAACAAAGATTGACCGGTAAATCGAGACCTTTGCCTTTCGGCTCAGCTCCCTCTTCACCACAACGGTCCGATACTGCGACTGCATCACTGCGTGCACTGTCCGACTGTCAATCTCACGTTCCAACCTTCCCTCACTCAAGAACAAGGACCTCTCCACACACCTGGTTGAGCACCATGGCCTCAGATTTGGAGGTGCCGAATCTCATCCCAGCCGCTTCACACTCGGCTGCAAACCTTCCCAGTGCATGTTGCAGGTCCTGGTTTGTTGGAGCCAGCTTCACCCAGACTGGACCACATTCGGGCCACAGATAAATTGAGTGTGAGACCCCTGATGAGCCCTCTGGTCTCTCGATGACCTCTCTCTGGTGTCTCTCTATGGTCTCTCTCTGGTCTTTCTCTGGTCTCTCTGGACATTCAAGAATATTTATTAACATTTCTGGACAGTAGTCATCCAAGTCGGAACCAAGCTGTGACCCGTAGCAACATTGATGAATACAAACTATATGTGCCATCCGTCTCGTTCATACAAACTCGTCCTCGTACTGCAGTGAGAACTCTCTGTCCCTTCCCTACCTTCTGATCTTTGCATCATGATGAAGGACAAGAACACGGATAAAAGTGGTCCACTTGTGTTTCCTCCAGAGTGAAGCTCCCTTAGAGAAGTTCAGTCACACGGGAAGAGGTCGGAGTAGAGCCGCTGCTCCTCGTGGAGAGGAGCCAGTTGAGGTTGCTCAGGCATCTGTTAGGGATTTCTCCTGGACCCCTCCTCTGGGAGGGTGTGAAAATGGAAGAACATGAACAGATGAATCTGAGTCCTCGGGTCAATGCTCTCTTTGAGCTCTGATCAAACTTAAAAACTAACACCTGAACACTTGTTTTAATCTCAGAGAACGTAGAACACAAGAAGTCACAGGAAACTTCACATTGTTGAAACTGCGGTGGATCTGGCCCAGTCTATTCCTGAGTCTCTCTCTGGTCTCTCTCTCTAGTTTCTCTCTGGTCTCTCCTCTCTGGACTCTTGTCTCTCTCTCTCTCTAGTCCCTATCTGGTCTCTCTCCCTCTCTCTAGTCTTTCTCTCTGGTTTCTCGCCCTGGTCTAGTCTGTGCGCACTGGTCACCACATGGCGCGCGTCCAAACCCCAGTCTCTTAGAGAGGTGCTTGCGCACGGAGCTGGAGCGCAGTCGTGTTTCTCTCACGGCTCACGAAGGACCTCACCCCTCAGACGCGACTGGATCCTCGGCTTCTACACGCAACAACAGCCGTAGAGCCGTCACAAAGCATCACGCACGCACAGCTTTTGTTTGGATCCTCGACTCCTTTGACCTCCCGTTGAGGTTGAACGTCCCGTGGGCTGGAAAAACATTGTTGGTGGAAGTGAAAGGATCAGACACAAGCGGACGAGGACATTGGTGAGTAAAGATCAGTCGGATTAACCCTTTTATTTTATTTTTTATTTCTAAGATAGAGAAAGATGATATAAATATGAGAAGGATAAGAACTTTAAAGTGGGTAAGAGTTTGGACATCAAATTGTGCAAGTTAAATTTGACTATTGCCTGGATTCCCAATCAGTTATTTCCCTTTACTGCACGAGTTCAGCGTGTTCCCCCAGCGTTACACTCTCAAAACAGCTCATTATCAATTCTTAAGTGGAGTTTTAGTGTTGCTGTTTTTAGGCAAGGAGAGCAAAGAGCTGCGAATGGGACTGATACAGACTGATGTAGAAAGTGAAAAAGAAGCTAATACTATCATAACACAGCACATGTTTGCCCACACTGGTCACACACTGTACCATGAGGGCAGTAGGTCTACACCACACAGTTTTTGTGTGTGTTTGGGCTTTGAACCTTTTCAATGTGCTGTACCCAAACAGTGGATGGTTTTCAGCATTGTTTGAGGTGTTCATTTTGTGAATCCTTTTCTCAGGTCTCTATCTGGTCTATCTGGTCTCTCTCTCTCTCTCTCTCTCTCTCTCTCTCATGTCTCTATCTCTGGTCTCTCTCATGTCTCTATCTCTGGTCTCTCTCTAGTCTCTCTCTGGTCTCTTTATAGTCTCTTTATAGTCTCTCTTTGGTCTCTCTTTGGTCTCTCTCTCTGGTCTGTCTTTGGCTCTGGACTCATACTTGTTAAACCAAACCTATTCAAGTTAAGGCCCGAGGGCCAATCTCGTACCACAGAGCTTTTTGATTCGGCCCACAAACATACGCAGAATATGATCATTTGTGTTTGTGGATGCAATGGTTTATCACGGGGTGAAATCACACACAATACGTGACATTTTCTAACCACCTGATCTAACAGCTGCTGAAGTGGAGTTTATGTGGAGTATAACATGACAGTTACCTCTATTTAAAGTCAGAAGCTCTCTCTGCTTTCTCTCTCTGGTACGTCTCTCTCTCTGGTCTCTCTCTGGAACGTCACTCTCTCTTGTCTCTATCTCTGGTACGTCTCTCTCTCTGGTTTCTCTCTCTGGTACGTCTCTCTCTCTGGTCTCTCTCTCTGGTACCTCTCTCTCTCTGGTCTCCCTCTGGTCTCTCTCTGGTCCCTCTCTCTCTCTGGTCTCTCTCTCTCTGGTCTCTCTCTCCAGCAGCCGTAGTTCAAGTTTAGGTGGTTAGAAAAGTGTATACATGTGAGGTGAGAGGGGTCACAGCCTTAAAATGTATTTGTGTATCGCCCTAAATCACAAAGGTAGTCATCCCTGAGGACTTTACAAAGTTGTGGATTCATCAACAACAGATCAGAGAATCAAACCGTTTAAACACAGGAAATGCAATAATAACAAACACATAGGAGCCATTGGTCCATAAGGAGCGGAATTTGAAATGTAAATAAATGTGCAGAAATGTCCCAGATCATGACTGTCCTGAGACCAGACTGGACCAAACTAAGGCCCGAGAGTAAAATGCAGCCCAATGTGTCATTGTATATGGCCCACTGCCTTTTCAACCTAAAGTATCTCAAGTCTTTGAGATACTAATGACAAACTCACAGTGTCATTCAACCAACTTTAGCTCAGCTAATACAGGCATGTTGTACCTTTTTGTAAAGATTAGAAAGTCTGGAATCCAGCTGCTGACTTTATTTGTAAGTTCACACATTTGTCTTTTAGAGTCGCACAAAAGCTGTTGCGATGGTAATTTGTCATTCAGCCAACTTCAGTTCTGTCTACACTAATTATAAACCTCAGAGCAGCCCAAATCCAGTCAGAACTTTTTTAAATCTGGAGTTTTTTTCTGTTGCATCAGCAAGGAGCCTCTCAAAAACATTTTGTGACTTCCTCTTGAAATAGCAATACATATAAAAATAGCAATACATATAATTCCATGTTTTAAGGCGGTAAAACCCCTCACATAAACATTGTATAGACTCTTCTAACCACCTGAACTCATGACTGCTGAAGTGTACCATATGTGTATTAAGCTGCATCGCTGTGATTAGTTCAAAGGACTCTCTGTGTCCGGTCTCACTCTCTACTCTCTGGTCTCTCTCTCTCTCTGGTCTCTCTCTCTCTCTCTGGTCTCTCTCTCTCTCTCTGGTCTCTCTCTCTCTCTCTGGTCTCTCTCTCTCTCTTTGGTCTCTCTCTCTCTGGTCTCTCTCTCTCTCTGGTCTCTCTCTCTCTGGTCTCTCTCTCTCTCTGGTCTCTCTCTCTCTCTTTGGTCTCTCTCTCTCTCTGGTCTCTCTCTCTCTCTTTGGTCTCTCTCTTTGGTCTCTCTCTCTCTCTCTGGTCTCTCTCTCTCTCTTTGGTCTCTCTCTCTCTGGTCTCTCTCTCTCTGGTCTCTCTCTCTCTCTGGTCTCTCTCTCTCTCTTTCTGGTCTCTCTCTCTCTCTCTTTCTGGTCTCTCTCTCTCTCTCTCTCTCTGTGCTCTCTCTCTCTGGTCTCCTATTACAAAAGCAATAAACATGATTGCGTTTGTGTTTCTCTTCAGAGAGAGCGACAGTCATGACGGCTGAGAAGAGTGGCCCGGTGAAGAACGGGAAAGCAGATGACTCCAAAGACGGGGACAGCTCCTGCGCCACCTCTCAAGAGGGAGTGGTATACCTCGAGCGAGGCCATTGGAACAACAAGATTGAGTTCATCTTGTCTGTGGCTGGAGAGATCATCGGTCTGGGGAATGTGTGGAGGTTCCCCTACCTCTGCTACAAGAATGGAGGAGGTCAGAGCTGCTCATAATAATAAAAAGGATGATAATGATTGTAATGATAATGCGTGGGTTTTATACAGCACTTTAGTGGACACTCAAAGTCTCTCTGCTCTGTCTCTGGCCTCTCTCTCTCTGGTCTCTGTTCGGTCTCTCTACAATCTCTCTCTGTCTCTCCCTCTGGTCTCTCTCCCTGGTCTATCTCTGATCTCTCTCAGGTCTCTCACTCTCTGGTGTCTTTCCCTGGTGTCTCTCTGGACTCTCTCTGTGTCCTTCTCTCTTGTCTTTCTCTCTGGTCTCTCTCTCTCGGGTGTCTCTCTCTGGTCTCGCTCTCTTACACCTATTTCTGGTCTCCCTCTGATCTTTCCTCTTCTGGTGATCGTTGAAAGTGGTCGCTCAGTTCTTGTTCTAACTCTAACTTCATCCTTGGCTTGTGCTTGTATTTCAAAGCGGGTCTGTTGTCATGGAAGCGGTTCGATGCACTGCAGCCACTGTGCTGTATTTTTGTGTTCTAGTCTCCTAACCCTCGAGGGGCTTTGACGGTGACTATGTGCATACTGAATCAAAGAACACCATGACTCCGCTTACGACTGCTCATTTAAAGTCACCCAGAACAGAGACAGACATTATCTTTTCTTCATGATTGTAGTTTGAGGCGAGTGAATGAAGAACCAGTTTTGTGTGGCTTTTTTGTCCTGAGAAAATGGATTTTAAAAGGTTTCCCCAAAAGTTTCCTAATACCACAGCTGTCTGAACTCAAGACTCAAGACAGAATCATGTTTATGTCATGTTTGTATGAATATACTGTATGTGCAGTCAGGGCTGGACTGGGACAAAAAAACGGCCCGGGCATTTTTTCCTTTTTAGCGGCCCAGGCAACTCAAAAGTTTCAAGGAGCCATATTTGACAACAACAACAAAAAACAGCGTTGTATAAGGCTTATATGAAGGTAACAGGGGCTGAAGCTGTATTAGCTACATTAGCTACCTTAGCTACATTAGCTATATTAGCTATATTAGACTAATATCTAAATGACAAAGTAAAGGCTAAACACATAAAAACCATTCATGATTATCAAATGTGTATTTTCATTGCAGCGTGTCCTGGAGAGAATGACGCACCACGTGACAACTCTGCTTTAACTTTAACTTCCATTTTTTTGCCTTCATGCAATTGTACAAATACAGTAAATAAATCTGCTTTTTGGCTCCAAGTTCACCTGCATCACTGTCTGTTCATATCCATCACGTCACAGGCTGAAGTTTGCTGGAGCTGAATGTCCTTAATGGCCTTTTCTTTCACTGTCTTATTACTTATACAAGTTTTTGCAGCATTGAAAAACATTAATGTTTTTCCTCCTACCGAAAACCACATTGAAACTAGAAATAAAATATAGCCCTCACACTCCATTTTCAGACATTTTTGAAAAGGCTCCAGGAGCCACTTTAGGGGCACTAAAGGTTGCCGACCCCTGGTTTATACAGTATGTGGAAGCAAATACTGTAGAGGATCAGGATGTCTGCAGTTTTCATCAATAAAATAAAGTACAATAGTCTACATTAAACAGAGTAATAAACATGTCTCAAAGTGAGGGAGGTGAAACAGACAACACTATTGTTTGTTACAGGGATGAGCTTTGGTCAAAAAAGACTGAAATGCATATTTTCAGCCATTTGCTGGCTCTAAATCTGTTTAATCTGTTCACAACATTTTACTTTTGGGCTCAAACATGAACTTTTAATGCAATGTAAAATGTAGGTACCCGAGCTTTAATTTAGAGGAGAGGGGAGACGCGGACTGTTTCCTGCAGCGGTGTATTTATTGGGTGCACAAATTACGAAAAGACTTGCATGGTCCTGTGCGCGTTTATGGTCTTGGGTACATGGTCACGTTGCGGCTACGCGCTCACCGTGTTGTGTTGTGAGCGGTTCCTGCGTCCAGCTCAGAGCCGCTGGATGCTGGAACACTGCGGCCGCTGAGGTGGTGGAATCCCGTTTGAGTACATACAGCAGGTGCCCCGCGGACACTCGCGCCCCCTCGAACAGTTCTCAACGGATTTACACTTTTCACAAACATGTTTTTTGTATGAGGCAGACAGACCGGCCCAAATATGGGCATCGGCCCTTCGGGCATTGCCCGGTACGCCCGATGGCCAGTCCAGCCCTGTGTGCAGTGCAGATCAGACATTAGACCCGGCAAATGCACGGTGTCCATTAAGGTCTGGAGATTAGACTCCAGCAGAAAAACTGATGTCTGCAGGTGGGAATGTAATCGAGATCATGCGCGAATCCCCAGGTCTATACCCTAGCTATATAGCTAGAAATCCACGATGCCGTCCACGTTAACCAACCAAGTGATGCCAAGGGCTGTCAATCATCAGCGCTGATGCTCATAGCTGCGCACATGCTCAGTTGTTTGTTTTTACGGAGCCTCCGAATTAAGGCTCTATATGGCTCTGAAACGACATGAAAACTGAACAAAGAATTATGAACATCCGCGCTGAGGTACTTATGTATATACTGAACCTATATCCATAATCATTTATATACTGAACCTATATCCATAATCATTTATATACTGAACCTATATCCATAATCATTTATATACTGAACCTATATCCATAATCATTTATATACTGAACCTATATCCATAATCATTTATATACTGAACCTATATCCATAATCAGATCCTCTGCAGATGTGTCCTGTAATGTTTAATCAATGTTAATAGCTACTTCCGGGTTTGCTGCTATCGCTTTTTTTGTGCATTAACATTTTTTTGTTGTCATGAAAACGTTAACAAATAATTCCAAAAACCTCCGTGCATGTGTATTAATAATGTATATGTATAATGTTTTCTCAGATTAACATTTAAAAGTGTTATGGAAACGTAAGTGTAGACCAATCAGAAAGGAAGAGGGAGGAGCTTAGTGTTTTTTTTTCAAATCAAGTACCTCTCTGTCTCTTTTTTCTGAGAAACTCCAGACAATCAGTTTAACATATATGCATACGTATTCACAATATACTTTAAAATAAAAATTGAAAAACAGAAAATGTATGGATCAAGTAACCAATTGATTTGTTCTAATCCCATAAAAATTAAAGTCATCTATGTCATCTTCTGGTTGTTTTTGTCCTGCATGGACAAGCGACCACTACAAAACCCAGGACTGAGGCACGTAGATCCAGGACTGAGGCTGTAGATCCGAGACTTTAGATCCAGGACTGAGACTGTTGATCCTGGGCTGAGACTTTAGGTCCAGGACTGAGACTTTAGGTCCAGGACTGAGACTGTTGATCCAGGACTGAGAATATGCTGTTTGTGATGTTTCAGGTGCGTTCTTCGTCCCGTACGTGATCTTCTTCATCTGCTGTGGAATCCCTGTGTTCTTCCTGGAGACAGCTCTGGGGCAGTTCACCAGCGAAGGAGGCATCACCTGCTGGATGAAGATCTGCCCGCTGTTCGAAGGTAGAAGCAACCACAGACTGTATACAGACCAAAAATTCTAACCTGCTAGCTCAATGACGTTCAATAGGGAAGTGCTCATGGTGAAGTTTGGCTCATCTCTCTGTCTCTTATTGACTTACATGTACAAGTAAATAGCTCAGTAACCGTTTCGGGCTTAAATTTGTGGTTTAGCACTCTCTGTGATCCTGGTGTTTATATTGTGATTGTCTGAGTTAATCCAGATATGAGCCAAATACACATTGACCAATCAGTCCTTCGTTCACGGGGAAAACTCCAGTGCTTCACTAGAAAGAAATAAAAACAGCCAATAACATTAAAAAACAGTGCAAATACATGTAAAACATATATTGTATGCATTCAAACTTCAGTTGAGAAGGAAATTGGCTTCAGCTACCTTTTGTTCAAATTGGTTTCCTCAGCATTAAGGCCAACACTGTGGTCACATTCTGGTGGGTGGAGCTAAGGAGAAGGGTTGAAGAGCTGGTCTGGCTGATGCGGCGGTGATTTGGAGGAGGAGGGTTTCAGCACGATATGAAAGTTCAATAATACAGTGCTGTGCATAAATGCTGCCAGCTGAGTGTAAATGACTGATTGCTGTTGGACTGAAAGCAGTGAGCTGGAGCCAAACTTTTTCTATGAGCAGTTCCCTATTGGGCTTTATTGAGCTAGCCTGTTAGCATTAGCCTTCTATGTGCAGTGTATGGGTAGAACGCTGTGATGACTGTGTCTGTTCCAGGGATCGGATATGCCACGCAGGTGATCGAGGCCTACCTAAACGTTTATTACATTGTCATTTTGGCGTGGGCCATTTTCTACCTCTTCCAATGCTTCACCACGGAGCTGCCCTGGGCCGGCTGTGGTCACTACTGGAACACAGGTGTGGACCAATCACAATCCAGCTCAGATTATTCACACACTCATGCATAAGTTTACATACCCTGGGTGATTCTAGAAACATCAGCAAATATGTGTTAACTAGTTGTAGTCTGCAGTGGTCTGTCAATGGTCTCTCTCTGGTCTCTCTCTGGTCTCTCTCTGGTCTCTCTCTGGTCGCTCTCTCTGGTTGCTCTCTTTGGTCTCTCAGGTCCCTCTCGTCTATCTCTGGATGATTCTAGCCTGGTTGTACCACACCTTAGTACAAATTTCATTTCATACTAAGGTCTGGATTTGCTCCTTTGTGCTCCGTGAACAGTGATGGGAATAACGGCGTTACTAACGGCGTTACTAACGGCGTTACTAACTGCGTTACTTTTTTCAGTAACGAGTAATCTAACTAGTTACTTTGACTGTAACTATAACGCTGTTATCATTTCCGACATCCCGTTACTGCGCGTTACTCAAGACGCACAATTAACTTCTCTTTTTACTTCGTGATAGGACTCATGCGCGTGTTGTCATGAGAGAAGGGAGGATGAGAAAACCTCTCAGCAATTATTGGCTGATGTAAAACATATTTCCTTTACAATCTACATGTCTACAGTTGAGAGGATGGCTCATAAATTGTGTTTTTGAAACAAATATGGGTCTTAATTGCGCTCAACCACGGCTTGTATCACCGTGAGGCCTCAGAGGAGCTCATGTGAGCGCAGAAGTCGGCTGCATACAATTCCATCCAAAAGCTCCTTTCTCTTCCTGGTTTATCTGCTAAGGGCAGCAACAGGTTTGGCTAACATACATATAACACATTTTAAGATAATTTAAAATGCACTTAGGGTAATTTTTCAATGACTATAGGAATGATAAGAAAGAGAGGTGAAGTGTAAGACGGTTGATTTTAGAAATTAGATGCACCCGGCTGCAGCAAAACAGAGGAGTTTATGGAGGACACACGCGTTTTGTTTTACTTTTTAAAACTCATTGGACTCATTTCCAAATGGAGGATTACATATCTACGCTCAAACTATTATCTGGACTTAAACACAGAACTGGTCTGAACCGAAGTGGTTTGTGCAGGTCATTTATAAGGTAAGACCCATAACTCATAGTTTTGAGTTTTGTATGAACAAACAATGCGGGCATGAAACATATTCTGCTGTAGCCAAACAAATTGTGAATATGCCGCTCCCTTGGTCCTGTTGATTTATATGATGTATATGTTCATCTGATTGGGCTGAAGTCAGTGCTTCACTGGTGTTTCCACATTCACGGTGGCGGGTGTTGGTGTTTAGTGCTTACAGCACAGAGAGAGATGAAGAGTGAACAGGACTTCAGCAGCAAAACAGCCTTTTCTAGATGGAAATATTGGCAATATTTCAAACTCACTGAGGTTAAAGGTAAAAATGCGCACGTCCAGTGCACATTATGTTTCAGAACAAAACAAAAAAGTAACGCAATAGTTACTTTTACTGGTAACTAGTTACTTTTATAGTGGAGTAACTCCGTTAGTAACTCAGTTACTTTTTGGGAGAAGTAACTAGTAACTATAACTAATTACTTTTTCAAAGTAACGTGCCTAACACTGTCCGTGAACAGGTGGGAGGGGTTAACTCCTTTTGCAGATTGAAACGATTGAATCTGAGTTTACCGTGACGTATGTAATGCGCCTGAGTCTGTTGTTAGCATTTAGCCTAGCCATCTCCTTTGCCGCAAACGGAGCCCGTGGGGAGTAGCGCCACAATCTTGACCAGCGATTACATTTGCTAAACATTCCTCTTGCTCCTGCTTCAATTTCTTGATAGAACCAGACCGGATTACTTTACGATCGCATTCTTCGCCACTGCCAAACTACAACCTGCCCGTTCGACGCAAACTCTTGACGTCACCGGCACCGACCTACAACGCGCTCTCTGAGTAGCCGGTCGAAATATGACCGATTGTCCCTAACACAGGGACTAGACCCAGACGGTTACATGCAGTGAAATGATGATTGAGCGGAGTGTACGGATGGCTATGGCCAGGCTAAGATGATTCTAGAGACACCCCGTTACTGCACATTACTAAAGTTGCACAATGAACTGTTTTCCCACGCGCCCTGCTGGGCCTCGTGAGTTTGCTCCTCTCTCCAGTCCCAGCGTTGCTACAGGACCGCAGCCCCACACCGCTTATTTTACACGGCTTGATTGTGTGTTGCACGCCGAAGTGTGCTGCCTCATCTACAGTTACTGTCCCCCGCGTTGTTGGGCATTGTTGGGCATTGCTGTGCCCATTCAACAGCGCTGCTGCGGGACTGGCAGCTGGTATCCGCGGCTTGGGCCAGCCCGTGCACTGCTTTGCCCCCTTTTCCACATTGTTGCGGACTTATTGTCCTGTATCTGTGCTGCTACTTCCCTCTAATAATCTATTCTGCACCCCACCTCCTCTATTGCCCCGTTCACATTATTACAGCGGCTGTAGGTGCTCCAGCCGCGCTCAGCGCACTGTATTTTCCCTCATTCTGGTCTGTCAGGTGCGAGGGCTGCTGAACGGAGGGGTTGTGTGTGTCTGTAGGAACTAATTATTTTAAAATAGTCTCTTTCAAGTTTTATAATGTGTTTTGTTTGATCAATGTATAAAAAATAAATGCAATGTAATTTAAAAGGAACCTTGGCCTGTCTTATTGTCACTTACTTGTGTACTTTGCAGGACAGTTCCCTATGCTAACATATAATACTAATACTAATACTAAAATTAATCTACTTATATCCTATATCCTAAATTACAACCAGCTAAAGCTTGGTACCACGAGAAACGAGGTATTGCAATAGTTACTTTTACTGGTAACTTTAATTGTGGAGTAACTATAACTAATTACTTTTTCAAAGTAACGTGCCCAACACTGGATATTAGTAATTATTTTGACTTCAAACTTACATGTCAAGCTAATACAATGAACAGGTCACAAAAACAGCAGGTTTCACAGTTTGGAAACAGTTCATATCACAGGTGTTCCTGTGGACTGACCACCTGCTGGAGGATCAGTGAGGGGCTGGTGCTCTGTGTACTGGGTGCAGCTCTGGGTGCAGCTCTGGGTGCAGCTCTGACAGAAATGGATTAAGGGGAAGAAGATGGATGGATGGAGTTTATACACAAGGCAAATAAGCTCTGAATAAAAGGAAAGAAATATTATAATCATAAATAATCACAGTGCATTATAATATACAAATACAATCCTGCAGTCGTTGCAGCGAAACAGAACTGTCTGTAACCTGGATTACAACAATGTCAGAGTAGAAGCCTGTCCCACATTTTCTGGAAGGTTTAGTTTCATAAATCTGAAACGCTGCCTCCCCATGTTTAGTCCTGACTCTGGAGGCCAGCAGGAGGCCAGTCCCTGTGCCCCTCAGAGTTTCAGCAGGAGGCCAGTAGGGGTGTGGCGATACTTCCTCCCGCGATTCGATTATCAATATTTATTTATTTTTTACAATATTTAAAAAAAAAATTGGTATCAGTAATTAATATATGGCTACATTACGCATCTCCGTTCCATTTATCATGAAATAAAGTGTATTTTTTATTTTATTATGCCATAAATTGGCATATTGTATATTTATGACCAATATATCGATAATCGTCATATCGTGATAAAATCGTTATCGTGAGCTTTTTATCGTGTATCGTATCGTATCGTGAGTTACCCTTAGGTTCCCACCGCTAGAGGCCAGTCCCTGTGCTCCTCAGAGTCGTTTCTTATGGCACTAGCATCTCACAGATGCACTTTAGTGCAAGGCCATGGAGAGACTTGTACACAGGCAGGGCTGCTTTCAAGACTGTTCTCTGAGCCACAGGAAGCCAGTTCTTAAACTCCCCCTTGATCAAAAGCAATCCAAGACAATACAAGGCTTCACCAAACCACACACCAGTGAAAGCCATCTCCTGTTATTATTGTGGTAAATGATGTAAATGAAATCAAACATTAGTCTGAGTGTATAAACTGTGAACTAAACTATATTATTATGAATAGCATGCCCAGGTTCATGCCAAAGTAACTCGCATACATTCATACGTTTTGCCTTTTGCACTACAGCAGAGAAAATGCCCAGTACCAAAAAGACAATATTTAGTCCACTAGAGGAAAGGGTTGGGTCATAAATCTATCTATCTATCTATCATTCTGTAATCCAGTATCTACCAGCCATATACTCTACTTTACTCTGCTCTACTCCAATCTACTCTAAACTCCCTGGTTGTGTCTCCATTATACTTATATCTCGTAACTAGTAACTGGTACCGAATCCTAACCTACCCAAAATAAGCCAGTATCCGGGGACTTTGTTTGGTAACCATGGCTTCCAACAGCACTCTGACCAATCGCTGTTTGTTAGAACACATTAGTACCAGCTCGGCCTGGATAGAACCAGGGCCAAGAGGGAGAAAAGAACAACCTGGTACTGGTTAAACAAGGCCAGTGGAATCACTCCCATCAGGGGAGAGTAGTGTTGTTTTAGTTCCTTTCCACAATGATTGTTTCCACTCTGTTCTCCTCCTCAGAATACTGTGTGGACTACTACGGTGAGAACGCCACCAACATCACCAACAACCCTAACATGAGCTCGCCCGTCATCGAGTTCTGGGAGTGAGTGAAACTGATGATTCTAATTTCAACACACCTGGAACTATGTGCGCGTGGTTAGGTTGTGGTTATGCCTGTGGTTATGGTTGTTATGGTTATGGCTGTGGTTATGGTTGTGGTTATGGCTGTGGCTGTGGTTATGGTTGTTATGGCTGTGGCTGTGGTAATGCTTATTATGGTTATGGCTGTGGCTGTGGTTATGGTTGTTATGGCTGTGGCTGTGGTAATGGTTATTATGGTTATGGCTGTGGTTATGGTTGTTATGGCTGTGGCTGTGGTAATGGTTATTATGGTTATGGCTGTGGTTATAGCTGTGGCTGTGGTTATGGCTGTGGTTATAGCTGTGGCTGTGGTTATGGTTGTATTTATGGTTGTAGTTATGGGGTTATGGCTGGATTTATGGCGTCTCTATGGAACGATCGACTTGGATTTTTTGGTAACAGAAGCCAGTTCTTGTAGATTCTGCTCTGTAAATGACTGATTAGTACTGTATGTCATATAGAGCTGCAGCTATTGAATATTTGAGTAATTGAGTATTCTATCAAATATCCCGATATGATACAGTATTTTATACTTGCTATACAAGGAAAAGCCTCAATGTGTTACAGGGCTTCATTCGCCCATCACTACTCTTCTGTTAAGCGGGCTCCACCATGCAATGTTTGCATTCCACTGCGTTTTCCTTTGATTTTAGTGCAGAAATGGGGTTCCCACACTTTGGACAATTTTTGATGCTTTTTAATTTCCTCATTTTTCCGTTGCCGAGTGCTTTCTGCATCGTCTACCATTTTGAGCTATGTTCAGTCTATGGAGCTATGTCGTGACAAACACAAGTGAAGCGAGTATTTAACAGGCTGGTGCTGTGTAGTGCATGGGCATGTAGGATCTGTGACGTAAACAAACAAAGAATCCTTGAGAAACAAATTTTCACCACGATTTACTACACAAGGCATATTACTCAAAACCTCAAGGTAGCGGACATTTTTCATATTTGAATTACTCGAGTTACAATCATTTCTGCTCTAATGTCATATATATTTAAAAACAACATAGGATCATTAGCCAATGATGTTTTTTGAGGGACTAAAAATGTTATGGTTGTGTTTATGGCTGTTGTTATGGTTTTCTTTCTGAAATGATCTGCTTAGATTTTTTTCTGGAACCAATTCCTGTAGATTCTGCTCTGTGGATTACTGATTTATTGACTGATTCCCCCCATTATCCTCATGTACTGATTCAACATATTTGAGAGATGAGTGAAAACACTAAACATTAAAAGTGTGTGGCCCACAAATCTCTGTCCCATTGAACCTCTCTCTGCCTCCTTCCCTTTCCTCTTTCTCTTACAAGCGACAAATTATCTCAGCTTGAATCTAATCCGTGTTTTATTACGATCAAAGTGCTTACTTGTGAGCACTGACGGGTTATTAGTCCGGACTGGTGCCAAATGTTGTTGCCCTGACCCTCCGACCGCTCCATTCTAAACACTGGGCTGAGAGCGTAGGGGCCGGGAGGACAGCTGTCTCCCAGTGAGGAGCACTTCCTCCGGTCACAAAGCTGGCTCGTGCTCCAGCAATGACCTCACCACCATCAAATGGACTGGAACCAATGGAATGCACCAAATACAACATTATTGGTTTTATAGAGATGCATTGCCAGGTGGTTCTTTCATGTTCAGGCTGTGGCAAGTGGAAAACCAACGAGATTTTGTAATCTCGTTGGTTTCTCTAATGTATTTTCAATGATATGGAAAATCAAAAACAATATAGAATCATTTCTGGGCTATGAGCCGCTACTTCATTCAACTTCTCATAACTCTGTGGCCCTGGTATCCAAGATGTCTGCCTCAGATCCCTCCAAGATGTCTACCCCAGGGCTCCAAGATGTCGGCTTATTCAGTTCAATGGTCCGTTCTGATTGGGTCATGCTCGCACCATGGACTTCCAAAACATTAGCAGAATTTCACATTCTGGCCAGCTCTGGTTCTCCTGTTTTTTGTTTTTTTGCAGTAGGTGCGCAGTAGGACCTGAGTAACGCGTGAGTGTTCCAACAAAGAGCGGCGCAGAGAGACAGGAGAGAGACCGGACAGGGACCAGAGAGAGACCAGACAGAGAGATCATAGAGAGACCTGAGAGATAGAGAGACCAGAGAGGGATGAGAGATTGAGACTAGAGAGAGATCAAACAGAGACCAGAGAGAAACCAGAGAGAGACCAAAAATAGATCAGCGAGAGACTAGAGAGAGACCAAAGGGTAGATCAGAGAAACACCAAAGAGGGACATGTGAGAGTTCTGACCAATCAGAGAGCTACTGATCAGAGTGGAGCTTGAGCCGGATGAGAGTGAGCCGAGTATGAATCTCCACTGAATCCTCCTGTAGTTTCCTGTCTCTGAGGACGAGCCGTTTTAGTGAACACTGAGGTCTATAGGGAAATCACCTTACCGCACATGTGGATTTAGGATGCAGTACTGCGAGTGGCCTCTAGTCCAGATGGATTTAGACTGCAGTACCGTGAGTGGCCTCTAGTCCATGCGGAGATACAAGCCAATGCATGTATATTATTGTCTTAGAGTGTCTCCTGTAGTGCACAAAAGCTGTTGATCCCCAAAGTAGATGACGAAACACACATTCCTGCTTCAGTGTGTTTTTGTGAACAGCAGAGAGGGACCAGAGAGCGGGAGAGACCAGGGAGAGGGAGAGACGAGAGAGAGAGAGAGAGACCATAGAGGGAGACTGGAGAGGGAGTGACCAGTGAGGGACAGGCCAGTGAAAGACACCAGAGAGGGAGAGAGACCAATGTGTTTATGTGAACAGCAGGGAGACACAAGGAAGTGCAGAGAATTACACTGGACACGTGTCTGTGATTAGGCCTGTCTCCTTTGTTGTTTGAATGTGTGTCTGTATGCGTTTGTGTCTCTCTCTCCTCACTCTTTCTTGTGTGTGTGTCTGTGTCTTTCTATGTGTGTATCCTCTCCAACTTTCCCCTCTGTATGTGTGTGTGTTTCTGTATGTGTGTGTTGTGTGTGTCTCCCTGTATGTGTCTCTCTCCTCACTCTCTCCTGTGTGTGTGTGTTTTGTGTGTATGCATGTATCCTTTCTCACTCTCCTCTGTCTCGTGTGTATACAAGAGTCTGTGTTTGAGTGTTGTGTGAGTGTGTGTATGTATGTGTGTATCTTTATGATCTCTCCTCACTCTCCCGTGTCTCGCAGACGTCGTGTGCTGAAGATCTCTGATGGTATCGAACACATGGGCGGCGTGCGCTGGGAGCTCGCCATGTGTCTGGCCTTTGCCTGGTTCATCTGCTACTTCTGCATCTGGAAGGGCCCCAAGTCCACGGGAAAGGTACACAACACACACACACACACACCCACACACACACACACACACACCCACACACATACAAACACATTACAAGGATACAAGCTTTAGTTGTTGTTTCATAGTCTCTGGAACTTTTGGTCCTTAATGACCGTGCCAACCACTGTCCAGAAATGTTGAGAAAATGTGCAGAAATGGATCATCACTGTCCTTAGACCCTCCTGTGTCAGAGAGGAACCACTCAAGAACCCAGAGGGAAAAACTAAGAAATCTCAGGGAGGCCCATATTGAGAGAGGGATCTGCTCTCTGCAGAACAGTTTTTTAATGCAGGTCATCAGCCTCTGGATAAGTCTGGTTTACTAGAGTAAAGTTTGGACACCCCTGGTCTACAACATGCATTTTAAAATATGTGTTCTCTCTAGATCCAGACCAAAGAGAGAGACCACAAAGAGACCTGACAGAGAGAGAGAGAGAGAGATCAGAGAGAGACTGTAGAGAAGGACCAGAGAATAACCAGAAAAAGAGACCAGAGAGAGAGACCAGAGAGAGACTATAGAAAGGGACCAGAGAGAGACCAGAGAGATAGACTAGAGAGAACCATGCAATCATCTGCCCCTGGATAAGTCTGCAGAAATGTTGTGGACTTTGGACAACCTTGGTTAAAACATGCACTTTCCAAACTGTGTTCTCTTTGGATCCAGACCAAAGTCATGTCTCTACTGCCTCTTTTTTCATTTACACTTATTGACCTTGTCCACTTTCAGTACAGCAGCCGCCTCAGAGTACCTTCCCAAACTACTAAAACTCAAACACAAACTCTGGTATTCCACACACGGCACCGAAAAGCCAGAGCCAACCAGGGATCGGCTGTGTCTAAAGAAGTGTCTTTGAGAAAATCAAACAATCAAAACAGTGTGACAGCAGAATCAGTCTTTTTCAGTCCAGAGACTAATAAAAGATCAATCCGAGGTAGAGTGAAAAAGATTTTAAAGTTAGCTTAGTCTCTAGAAAGTCAAGTTAGGAAATGCATTACATAACACATAGGAGCCAGACCAGAGAGATAGGAGAGTGACCACAAGAGAAACCAAGACAGATGAGAGAGAGACCAGAGAGAGACCAGAGAGAGACCAGAGAAAGACCAGAGAGAGATAGACAAGTCAAGTAATAGATGAGAATGATCATAGAGACACAAGAGACAACAGTGAGAAAGACCAGAGAGAGAGAGAGACCAGACCAAAACTACAAAAACTCCACACAAACTCTGGTATTCCACGCATAACTCTGAGCGAACCAGGGAGCGGCTGTGTCTAAATTAACGACCTCGGTATTGTCCACGACAGCGACGGAACAACCGATGCCTATATTTCTTTGAAGTGTCTTTTGTGGAGGAGCGGGAGTAAAGTAAAGCGGTGGGAGAAAGCTTCTTCATGGCTCCGATTTAAGATTGATTCGCACATTCAGTCAGAGTAAAGACGCGCGATCCTGAGCAGCATGCAGAGTGCTCCTCTCTCTCGGAGAATAGAGCCAGAGGGAAACCCATTCACTCGCACTAAGCTGTTTGCTCGCTTGGCCCCTGTTTTTGGGCAGCCTTTCTCACATTTGGGGCTCCGTGCGGGTGAGATTTACGGCGAAGGCAGGGGCCGCAGTGCACCGGTGAATTTGTGCCGGCTTAAATGTTTGCCCGCGGTGAGCTGGAAGTGAGCAGAGCGGATGGAGAAGGGAGGGAATGGAGATTTGGGCTCTGAGGCGGCGCAATGGGGAGCGGGTTTAGGAGATGTAGTCGCAAATTGTACTGGGGCTGGATGAGCATTGATTGCCAATAACAGATTAGAAAAGCAGAAAGTGAAAACAGAGATGGATCACAACAGAGATGGATCAGACTGTCAGAGGAGAAGAGTTCCCTGTATTTAGAGCGTCCTTCTTCAGAAAGGGGAAATACATAAACGCTATCGATGAATTTAGCTCTGTACTAGTTATGAAACACAAAATCTGTTTCAATTGGAACATCGGTTTTGTTTCTTTGGTCAAAGTATATATTTTTTCCCACCGGATGGTTCCTTGCAGAGGCAGGAGGGTCTAAGGCAGGTGTCTCCAACCTTTTCACCCAGAGAGCTACTCTCCCGGGATGTTAAAGACTGAGAGCTACTCATTTGATAAGCGGCCCTTGGAAAAAAAATGGTGATATATTGGTGGGAAAAAGCCTGATATTGGGTACTGTCATCATTTATTATAACATATGAGTTACTAGAGCATTTACAATAATAAATAATGATAATGAATATTACAATCTGAAATATTAAGTACATTATTTGATTTCTTCATTTCTAAATCCTTTGGTGAGCTACCTGGAAGGAGGTGGCGAGCTACTGGTGGCTCCCAAGCTACAGGTTGGACACCCCTGGTCTAAGGACAGTGATGATAATATTATCAGCTCATGGACCAATGACTCCTATTTGTTTGTTATTATTTGTATTATTATTTCCTGTGTTTGAAGTGTTTGATTGTCTGTTCTGCTGTTGATGAATCCACAACTTTATCCCCGTTCACGCCAGACCTACTCTACTTCAGACCTACTCTACTTCAGACCTACTCTACTTCAATTAGAAATTCCTTCGCAACCAGTAGCTCTCTGGCCAATCACTGTCAGTTGGAACACTTTAGTACCAGCTTGCCCTGGATAGAACCAGGCTCTAACAGAGAAACATGCAAACATCCGAGCTCTAAAACACCTGCTGTATATTCCAAATGCTGCAGCTCAAGTCCTGACTAGAACCAAGAAGTACTTAGTCATTATGTCCTCTCCTGGTATCAGGTCTGTGCACTAGCTTCCTGGGACTCAAGGAGCACATTTAAAAGCAGCGCAGCCTGTGTACTCTTGTGGCCTCGCATCAAAGTACACGTGAGACATGTCCGTGCCATATGAACCAACTGTGACTCTGAGGACCACAGGGACAGGCCTCCTGCTGGGACTCTGAGGAGCACAGGGACAGGCCTCCTGCTGGGACTCTGAAGAGCACAGGGACAGGCCTCCTGCTGGGACTCTGAGGAGCACAGGGACTGGCCTCCTGCTGGGACTCTGAGGAGCACAGGGACAGGCCTCCTGCTGGGACTCTGAGGAGCACAGGGACTGGCCTCCTGCTGGGACTCTGAGGAGCAGGGACTGTTCAAATCCAGGTTAAAACCTGTTCTATTTCGCTGCAACAACTGAAGGATTGAATCGTCACTCATTTTAATGCTCTGTAATTATTTATGACTTAAATGCCTTGTGTGATTTTTTTTCTCTCTTGTTTTGTTCAGTACTCTGAGTTGCCTTGTGTATGAACTGTGCTATACAAATAACCTTGGACAGCGTGTGCCACAAAGGCTGTAGTATGTGCATGTGTGGCCCAGCAGCACTTTCCCACAGTGCCACCGCTCTCCTCTGGGACGTCCTGTTTGAGACCCTTCTTTTCTCCCCTCTCTCCCGCGCTGGCTCCCTCTGCTCTTTCTGTCCTCAATTGGACTTTGACTGCGTGCCAGCGAGCAAGGCATGTATGTTACCGCCTCCAAGGGGCTCCGGTCTTTGTCCTCTGCGGTTTCTAAGAGTCTTGAGATGTTGCACACAGCTCCACAAACTCCAGAAACTCCAGAAACTCCAGAAAAGAGAGAGTTGAGGTTTGGGCGCTGCTCTTAGGCTGAATGCGTGGAGGAGACTTATAGTATGGTTTTAGAGGACTGAGATTTAAGACAGGACATGGAAATGACAGATCAAGGCATGGCAAGACAAGGTTATTTGTATAGAAAAAGTTCATACACAAGGCAACTCAAAGTACTAAACAAAACAAGAGAGAAACAATCACACGAGGCGTTTGAGTCATAAACAATCACAGTACAACAGAGGGAAGATACTATCCTTCAGTTGTTGCAGCAAAACAGAACTCGTTTTAACCTGGATTCAAACATTATTACAGTAGAAGCCTGTTTTTTTTTTATTTTTTAGGAAGACTGTTCCAATCCTTACTCTGAGCACCAGCAGGAGGCCAGTCCCTGTGCTCCTCAGACTTGCACACAATCAGAGCTGCTTTGAAATCTATTCTCTGAGCCACATGAAGCCAGTGCAGAGACCTGAGACCAGGACTAATGCGATGGCACTTCCTGATTCTTGTCAAGACTCGAGCTGCAGTGTTTTGAAACTACTGCAGATGTTTTACAGCTCGTTTGGAGAGACCAGTGAGCAGGCCGTTTCAGGAGTCTATTCTCCTAACAAAAGCAGGATAGAGACTTTAGTTTAGGATTTAATGGAAACGATCTAAATTCAATACATATATGGAGGTAGCTGGTGAATGTTTGAAAAGAGCCATAGAAGCCTTACAAATATGCCACACTGTTTGTTCTTTAAAGTCACTTGTCTTTGTTTGGAACGTATTTTTTTGTATTTGGACATTAAACAAAAAACGAGAAGCAGTTTTTACTTTTCATGTATGTTTGTCCACATTTTAAAATATGACTTCACAAAGTAACTAGTGCCATTAATGTGTTTGCGTATCACCCTAATTCACAACAGCAGTCGTCTCTTAAGACTTGCAAAGAACTTACAATATTGTAGATTCACCAACAACAGATCAGAGAGCCTGGACTGAGGCTGTGGATCCAGGACGTAGTTTGTAGAACCAGTACTGAGACTGCAGATTCAGGACTGAGACTGCAGATTCAGGACTGAGACTTCAGATTCAGGACTGAGACTGTAGATCCAGGATTGAGACTGTAGATCCAGGACTGAGACTGTTATCTTTTTCCCTGTATCTGTGTCTTGCTCGTACATTGCTGTGATTTCCTGTCTCTTCATGTTTGTCCAGCTGATCCTCTCTGCAGACTCAGAGGAGCAAGTCTAAATAAACTTTTATTTTGCAGGTGGTGTACGTGACGGCCACGTTCCCCTACGTGATGCTGCTGGTCCTGCTGATCCGAGGAGTAACGCTGCCCGGAGCCTTCGACGGGATCAAGTTCTACCTCTACCCCGACATCTCCCGCCTGTCCGACCCCCAGGTACTGGATATCTCACGGCTGTCGCTGTTCTCTCTCATGTCTCTCTCTCAGATCTCTCTCTCTGGTCTCTTTCTCTGGTCTCTCTCTCTCTATAGTCCCTAGTCACTCTTCCAGGTTTCTCTCTCCGGTCTTTCGCCAATCCCTCTCTCATGTGTCTCTCTCTAGTCTCTCTCTCTCTGATCCCTCTCTCGGATCTCTCTCTGGTCTCTCTCTCGAGTCCCTAGTCTCTTTTCCAAGTCTTTCTTTCTGGTCTCTCTCTGGTCTCTCTCTGGTCTCTTTCTCTGGTGTCCCTCTGGTCTCTCTCTAGTCTCTCTCTCTCTGATCCCTCTCTCGGATCTCTCTCTGGTCTCTCTCTCTGGTGTATCTCTGGTCTCTCTCTCTCTAGTTCCTAGTCTATTTTCCAGATCTTTCTCTCTGGTCTCTCTCCGATTATTGCCCTAGAGTTTATTTTATTTTATTTTATTCTTTATCTTTAAATTATTGTCTATTATCTTAAATAATAGACTTATTTAATGTGTGCAATCTGAGTGCTCTTATTTCCTTCTTTCTCTGCTGTAATGTGCGCAACGATGACACTGAAATTTCTCCACTGCAAGACGAATAAAGGTTTATCTTATCTTATCCCTCTCTCTTGTCTCCTTCTAGTCACTCTCTTACTCTGATCCCTCTCTCTGGTCTCCCTCTGGTCTCTCTGGTCTCTCACTGGTCTCTCTCGGGTCTCTCTGGTCTCTCTCTGGTCTCTCACTGGTCTCTCACTGGTCTCTCTCGGGTCTCTCTGGTCTCTCACTGGTCTCCCTCTGGTCTCTCTGGTCTCTCACTGGTCTCTCTGGTCTCTCACTGGTCTCTCTCGGGTCTCTCTGGTCTCTCTCTGGTCTCTCACTGGTCTCTCTCGGGTCTCTCTGGTCTCTCACTGGTCTCCCTCTGGTCTCTCTGGTCTCTCACTGGTCTCTCTCGGGTCTCTCTGGTCTCTCTCTGGTCTCTCACTGGTCTCCCTCTGGTCTCTCTGGTCTCTCTCTGGTCTCTCACTGGTCTCTCTCGGGTCTCTCTGGTCTCTCACTGGTCTCTCTCGGGTCTCTCTCTCTTCCCTCTCTCTTCCCTTGTCTCTTTTCCAGGTCTCTCTCCGATTTTTCTCTCTTGTCTCTCTCTTGTATCCCTCTAGTCTCTCTTCGATCCCTCTCTAGTCTCTTTCTTTGGTCTCCCTCTGGTCTCTCTCTGGTCTCTCTCTGGTCTCTCTCTGGTCTCTCTCTGGTCTCTCTCTGGTCTCTCACTGGTCTCTCTCGGGTCTCTCTCTGGTCTCTCACTGGTCTCTCTCATCCCTAGTCTTTTTTCCAGGTCTCTTTCTCTGGTCTCTCTCCAAACCCTCTCTGGTCTCTCTCCGAATCCTCTCTCTGGTCTCTCTCGTGGTCTATCTCTCTGGTCTCCCTCTGGTCTCTCTGGTCTCTCTGCTCTCTCTCTCTCAGCAAAAAGCATTCTGTTCCCAGACATTCCTGGGTTACTTTGCATGAACTGCACCTTTGCACATCTCCCCAGAGCGTCTCTACGATGGTGTCATTCAAGAATAGAAAAACACAATAATAATAATATCAAAAATATAAACATTGTTACAGACCCAAACTTAGAGTAGATGCGAGATAATCAGATGACATAGTTTTCGGCTCAGTGAAGTGGTCATGAAGGAGACGTGTTTCTCATAACACATCGTTGATTTGGAAACATCCTGGGCTGTCCGCAGCAGATGCATGACCTCTGACCTTTGACCCCTGGACACAGCTGAAGAAAGAGAGACACATGGGAAACTGTCCCCTCACATGTCTGTGCGGGACAGGACTGTTCTGAGAGGAACGTGTTGCAAAAGATAGAGAGAGAGAGAAAGAGAGAGAGAAAAAAGACTTTAAAATTGTCTGCATTTATAAAGTCTGGTCTCTCTGGTCTCTCTCTGGTCTATCTCTCTGGTCTCTCTCTAGTCTATCTCTCTGGTCTCTTTCTCTGGTCTCTCTCTGGTCTATCTCTCTCGTCTCTTTCTAGTTTATCTCACTGATATCTCTCTCTGGTCTCTTTCTTTCTGGTTTCTCTCTCCCGTCTCGCTTTCTAGTAATGGACTACCGTATAAGCAGCTACTTTTCTGCTGTGTGTATTTTTATCTTCAGTATTTTCATGTGAACGGCAGAGAGATAAGAGGAAGAGCAGGGAAATACAGTGTTTATGTGTCAGAGCAGAGGTTATTTTGACTTTTTATTTTGACTCCTCCGTGTATTGATAGGTGTGGGACAGGCTTTTATTCAAAATAATTTTTTTACATTCCAGTTGGCACGGTGGCTGAGTGGATACCACTCTCGCCTCTCAGCAAGAAGGTCCTGGGTTCAAATCCTGGTCGGACCAGGGCCTTTCTGAGTGGAGTTTGCATGTTCTCCCTGTGTCTGCGTAGGTTTCCTCCGGGTTCTCTGGTTTCCCCTACCTCTAAAAATATGTGCAATAGTTCTGGCATGCGCCTCCTGTACTGGCGACCCCGCTCCCATCTGTGTGTGGAGTGAGAGGACAAATAAAAAAAATAACAATTGTAAACTGCTTTGTGACTCTGGTCTGTGAAAGGCGGTATATAAATTAAGATTACTTACTTACTTACATTGGAGTGCAATATCCTTGGCCCTGTCTCTTAACTTCTGAGGTCCGACCTAACAAATGTACAGGAGATATATTACCACTTTCCCACACGCTGCTGAACATCCAGGGGGAGGACATTGAGCTGGTGGACAGCTTCAAGTACCTGGGTGTTCAATTTAACAATAAACTGGACTGGTCCCATAACACCAACGCCCTGTACAAGAAGGGCCAAAGTTACCTCTTCCTTCTGAGGAGGCTGAGGTCCTTCGCAGTGAGCAGGCTTCTGCTCAAGACTTTTTATGACTCTGTAGTAGCCTCAGCCATATACTACGCTGCCGTGTGCTGGGCCCCGGGCAGCACAGAGTGGGACAGAAACAGACTGAACAAGCTGGTCAGGAGGGCCAGCTCCACTCTGGGCTGCTCCCTGGACTCTGTGGAGGAGGTGAGGGACAGGAGGGTGATAGTCAAAGCCACCTTCAGCATGAACAACACCTCCCACTGCACAGGACTGTAGAGGAGCTGAGGAGCTCCTTCAGTGGAAGACTGAGGCACCCTCAGTGTAGGAAGGAGCGCTACCGCAGGGCCTTTATCCCCACCGCTGTCAGACTGTACAACAAGTCACTTTAAGTCATTGTATTAAGACTGAAAAAACGTGATTGCCACTTTTTAAATTGACACTTTTTTCTTGTACATAATATATCCTGCATTTAACATGTTTGCACATTTCCTCTCTTTTTGTACAATCTTGAGTGTTCTATATCCATGCCAAATGTGACATGTACATTTCTCCTTTGTGAGATAAATAAAGCATATCTTATCTCTTATCTTATCTTATTAGTAAAGTAGATATAAATAAACTACTTTCAATCATCACTGAGACCTGACACTTCAAATAAACAGCAGTATTAAGCAAACATGATATTTAAATTATTAGCTTATTAGACAAACCAGCTTGTCAGATTACATTTGCAAAAAATTATGATTTTTGTCATGTCTGGGAGAGCGAGGTCTCTGTCGTCTCTCTATGGTCACTCTCTAGTCCCAGTGGATTGTTTCCCCGGACATGACACAATGAGAGACACAGGTTGCGTGGTTCTATGAGCTTTTTGGCAGAAGGTTTGAGCATGGTCTGTCAGGTCCAAAGCAGCTCCAGTAGAAGTCTTGCCCCATGGTAGCCCCCAAGTCCAGCCCCAGAAGTCTGGTCCAGAAGTCTTGCAAAGGTCTGACCATTACGGAGAAGAATGGCGACTAAATAGGCCTCTTTCTGGTCTTTCTTACTCGTCTTTCTTGCTGGTGCCTCTGGTCCCTCTCAGTAAAAGTTTCTGTTTGTGTCTTGTCTGTAGTTTGAGAGAGCGAGGCTGTGGTGTCAGCTGAGCAGGTGGACTGAGGAAAGGATGTTATTTCGGAGGCTGTTGCAGGTGCAACATTACCATAATAATGTCAGGCTGTATAACTATAAGACTCCTTGACCTCATCTCCAAAAGGCAGATTGTCTCCAGGCAACAGGCGAATGCTTTTATTTTTGTCACTTCTCTCCAGTCATTTCTGCAGACAGTGGTGTTGCTAAGGTTTACGCTGTGATATGTCGAATAGAAACGTCTTAAAAAAACAGCTTAAATCAGTTTATTACTATTAGACTATTGCACCTGCATAGCAAAGTTGACATGTGCTTTATAATGCAATTCACATTGCCTACAAGTTAAAGCTGGAGTACCAAATTTTCAAACTAGAGAAATATAACTCTTGAATAAAATACATTTCCCTACTACCTGGCTCTCTCTGGTATCTCAGATCTCTCTCTCTCTGGTGTCTCTCTCTTTGGTCTGTCTCTCTGATCTCTCTCTTGTCTCTCTCTCTCTGGTCTCTCTAGACTCTCTTCCTGGTGTCTCTGGTCTCTCATTTTATCTGACTTTCGGATGATGTTTGTATGATTATCTTCTGAAAGTGGCACCTTTTAGACATTTATGGCAAAAAACTGTTTTTTGTTGTTAATATACAATTTGTATTCAGTATTTGTATTGTTTGCAATTTTACAATATATAATCAAAATAAAATCTGTATGTCATACATGGATAAAGTGTGTATTTTCTATTTATCATACCTTAATAGTGTGTAATAGCAGTTCTTTCACTTGTATGATCTTCATAAGGATGAGTCATCTCATCATTATGCAGTATTTGCAGTACTTCGCACGTTTCCTATGTTTTTCATCAGGACGTTATTGCAATTTGTTGAATTCATCCATTTCTGGGTGGCAGTCAGAGCTGCACCCAATTTACATAGCACCAGCCCCTCACTGATCCTCCTGCAGGTGGAGAGTCCACCATCAGTGGGAGTCGGTGGAGAAAGTCTTCTGGTGGTCTCGAACACACCTTCAGCCTCAAAGGCCAACTGAGCCACTGTCTCTATCTGGTATCTCTGGTCTATCTCTCTGGTATCTCTGGTCTCTCTCTCTGGTCTATCTGGTCTCTCTCTCGGGTATTTCTGGTCTATCCCTCTGGTATCTCTGGTCTCTCTCTGTCTATCTGCGTTTGGACTGTAGTGGTGAGAAAGTAGGGAGAACTGAGGTGATAAAAGTTTTGTTTGTGGAGGAAGACATTACTCCTGACACTGGTGCTGATTAGTGTTTCCTCTGGAACAATCAGAGCTCAATGGAGCAGCTGTCCCCCTCTGTCCTCTGAGCAGCAGTACCTCTGTCTCTGTCTACCCCCCTCTGCCTCCCTCTGTCCCCCTCTATACTCCTTTGCCTCCCTCTGCCCTCCTCTGCCTTCCTCTCTCTTCCTCTATCCTCCTCTGTCTCCCACTGTCTCCTAATTGTAGTGTAATGTAGTGTACTGTAAAAAAAAAAAAAATTATACTGTAGTAGTGTAGTGTAGTATACTGTACTGTAGTAGTGTAGTGTAGTATTCTGTACTGTAGTAGTAGATAGATAATTTATTAATCCCCATTGGAGAAATTCAGGTGTAGCAGCTAAAATAAAAAATAAAATGGCAAAAGTTAAAAATAGTAATAATCAGCAACAGCCCTTCAGGTCAGAGCAGAAGAGGTGGAGTAGCCTCTGGGTGGAGCAGGACGACTCACAGAAGAAGAGGTGGAGTAGCCTCTGGGTGGAGCAGGACGACTCACAGAAGAAGAGTTGGAGTAGCCTCTGGGTGGAGCAGGACGACTCACAGAAGAAGAGGTGGAGTAGCCTCTGGGTGGAGCAGGACGACTCACAGAAGAAGAGGTGGAGTAGCCTCTGGGTGGAGCAGGACGACTCACAGAAGAAGAGATGGAGTAGCCTCTTGGGTGGAGCAGGACCTGTCACAAGGTGGAGTAGCCACTTGGTTTGGACCATTTTCTCTGCTCTAGTAAGTAAAATGCTAAATGCTTCATTAGCATTTTTCTAAAAGTTAGCATTCCTCCAGTGGGTTTTCACCTGATCCGCTTGGTTCGGACCATGAATCCTCTCCGCTCCGGAAAATTCAAAAGCACAAAACGTCAACTGTTTCAGCGCTAATAGGACTTGCAGCCGTTTTCCAGCGCATTCAAAAGTAAAAACAGTATAGTGTAGTGTAGTATACTGTCCTGTAGTAGTGTAGTGTAGTATACTGTACTGTAGTTGCAGTGTTGTGCCAGTTCACAGGTTTTCTGAACTAGTTCAAGTTCAGTTCATACTGTAAATGCTCAAAGTGAACAGTTCACGTTCAAAGTCCACATTTTTTATTCTGAACTAGTTCAAAGTTCAGTTCATTTAACTTTTTTCGTGAGATACTTAAATATTTTTTTCACACTACGAGCTATAATATATATATAGATATATATATATATCTATATATATATATAAATTGTCCACTCACCTTTGGCCCTCCGCGGGCGGTTATCCCTCTCTAAGCTCGGGTCCTCTACCAGAGGCCAGGGAGCTTGAGGGTTCTGCGCAGTATCTTTGCTGTTCCTAGCACTGCACATTTCTGGACTGAGATGTCCGAGGTTGTTCCAGGGATCCGCTGTAACCACTCATCTAGCTTCGGGGTCACTGCCCCGAGTGCACCGATCACCACGGGCACTACTGTCACCTTTACCCTCCAGGCCCTCTCCAGCTCCTCTCTGAGACCTTGGTATTTCTCAAGCTTTTCATGTTCTTTTTTCCGGATGTTACCATCGCTTGGAATTGCCACGTCCACCACCACGGCTGTCCTCTGCCCTTTGTCTACCACCACGATGTCAGGTTGGTTTGCCATTACAAATGGCAAACCAACATATATTATATATTATTATATATATATATATATATATATATATATATATATATATATATATATATATATATATATATATATATATATATATATATATATAATATATATATATATATATATATATCTCCTGTACACCCACAGGAGGAGAGCCTATGGTTTTCAATGGGAGCAAAACGGAGTTGTCCCATCTCTGCTCATAAACTACAGACAGTAATGCGCTGCAGTGCGTGTGTCTATACTTTATGTCAAATGTAAACGGTGTAAACTTTGTCGCTAACTCACCCTGTGTTTTCATCACGACTCGGGCACAAGTGAAAAGCACCAGAATCCGTGTATCATTCGTTCTTTTGATTTTCTAAATAAAACCAACATTGAAAAAACGAATAACAAGGGATGTTTTTGATTCTCAATATTTGAATTTAATGCAAAATTGAAATATTGGTTTTGGCTTTTTGTTTTCTGTGGATCCAATTAAAACGAAAATGCAGTAAACCAATAATGACCGTCTAAATTACATTTTGCGATTTTCCTTTGAAACACAAACGTCCCCCGGAAGTGATTCGAAAGTGCGAGTTTGTCACGAGACCAGGAAGTGTCGCCTCCAGGTACTTGGATCGCACCTTGTTAGCGTTGGTTGTAGGAGAAATGTCTCTTAAAACTCTCCTCAACATCAGTCAGATTACCAGCTTTTTCGTTCGCTGCTGCAGAGACCATCGCAGATGAGAATTCTCAGATTCACGAGAGAAGGGGTTCTTCGATGAAAAATATATACACAAGTGTCAAGGTAAGACATAACTTAGCAACTAGCGCTAACAGCTAAGTTAGCGTTAGCTACGACAAACATGAAACACTTACACATGTAACAAATGTACCTAATGTGAGTGCTTTATTATTATAAATGTATGTTATAGACTTTCATATTATATAAGGACATGATATGTTTGTGTATTGGTGAAAGTAATCATGCTAAATTTTAGTAAATAAAAGATGATGCTAGATGTACCTTAACCATTCAATTGTGCTTTGTTTCTGCTTCATTCTCAAATATTGTCGAGGGACAGTAGTTAGAGCTAGATGCTTCAGGCTTATGAAGAGAAACTAGGAGCCCTCAGACTGCAGGTTTGAAACAGTCAGAAAGACTGCAGGTTTGAAACAGTCAGAAAGACTGCAGGTTTGAAACAGTCAGAAAGACTGCAGGTTTGAAACAGTCAGAAAGACTGCAGGTTTGAAACAGTCAGAAAGACTGCAGGTTTGAAACAGTCAGAAAGACTGCAGCTTTGAAACAGTCAGAAAGACTGCAGCTTTGAAACAGTCAGAAAGACTGCAGGTTTGAAACAGTCAGAAAGACTGCAGGTTTGAAACAGTCAGAAAGACTGCAGCTTTGAAACAGTCAGAAAGACTGCAGCTTTGAAACAGTCAGAAAGACTGCAGGTTTGAAACAGTCAGAAAGACTGCAGCTTTGAAACAGTCAGAAAGACTGCAGGTTTGAAACAGTCAGAAAGACTGCAGGTTTGAAACAGTCAGAAAGACTGCAGGTTTGAAACAGTCAGAAAGACTGCAGGTTTGAAACAGTCAGAAAGACTGCAGGTTTGAAACAGTCAGAAAGACTGCAGGTTTGAAACAGTCAGAAAGACTGCAGGTTTGAAACAGTCAGAAAGACTGCAGCTTTGAAACAGTCAGAAAGACTGCAGCTTTGAAACAGTCAAAGCCGCTGGGCTCATGTTCAGCTTGAGTTCCTGTCCTGATAGAAGACTAGCATAGCATCTTTCTGTTTGGTGGTTATTATTTCTCTTCTGACTTTATAAGATAGTTAAGTTATAACAAGTAATAATTATATGTCTGTTCTAAACCCACTTTTCTGTTTTAGATCTCACTGGGTGTGCAGGAGGTAAAGGTTTCAGACTTCACACTACTCCCAGCCTTGGCCTGTACCAGTGATCTGCAAAGATGGATGTGTTTATGTCAATGCAATAAAATTAATAATAACTGATCTACAAATCTCCTTTTTGTTCCTTTACATTTTAAACTTTCAACTCGTGTTTATCATTGTAAATTTATGTTACAAAATTAGAATCATTGCATGAAAAAGCACGTACTCATCAGTGTACATTATGTTCTGTCACATTTGAAAGTGTAAAAACTGTTCTTAAATCCAGTTGTCCTGGTCTTAATGGGCATTACACACGCAGTGACCTCACAGATAGAGATGTAAACTGTGTGGTCAATCTAACATTCTGGTTAGGAAGTCTAACGTGCTCTGTGAATGTAAAAACCTCCTTGTTCCAGTCTTTTTGGGCTCCTTTATTCACAGACCAACTGTGGCGGAGCTACAAGCAGTCAGTCTGCAGAGGTGAACAGTTTCCTATGACTGAATGAGGACGTTGCTGAAGATCCCAGACACAGTCGTCCAGTCAGATGTTTGCTGAGTGCAGGGAGCGCTCCTTTCCTACGTCACTGCTACTATCGGTTCATGTGTAGAGTCATGATGGTACCTAATAGTATTGTACAGTCCCTGGTTTGCCCATACATTAGCTCAGTCAGGGTCACTTCTAAACTTTGGAGTCACTGGCTTCTTTGTATGTGTGACTTGCTGTAAATATGTGATTATGTGTCTTTTTAACACAGCTTTTTTTTTTTTTATTCTTTCATTCTTAGCTCTGGATTCTGTGCTTGCATGTAAGTCCTTAGTAAAGTCTAAATAAAATTGGACCCATGTTGCTGCTGAAAGGAAGTTTGAGGTGTAAGTTGTTCTGTAAAGGTACATTCAAATACACAACTTGTCATTTTACAGTCTTGTTTAGTTAAGAATGTCATTTCCCAATTCATAAATCTATTGATACATAATCCACTAACAGTTAGTATTTGTTTTAACGGGTTTTCCATTGCTATTCAACACAATTTAGAAAAAAAATGTACAGAATTGTGTCCAAGTGGGTTTTAATTTGGGAACAAACTAATCAAAAATATTTACACTGGAACAGACACACAGAAGATTTACATACATGATGAATTTAGTCTTTGGCCTTCATAATTTGCCAAAACACGACAAGCTGTGATTCCTGAGCCTCGGGAGACAGAATCCCTCTTGAATGTTGCAATAAAATTATTCCAGGAAAAAGAGATGGAGCAGCAATAGTTTTAAGGCGGCTGATATGTAAAAATATATATGTATGTATATATTGGGCAGGAACATGATCCATGTTTAATGAATACATTTACTCAGAATACCTTTCTCTGAGCCACTTCAAAAAGTTTGCTTTTTTTTTTACCTAGTCGGTGTAACGTGGTTGATATTTCTGCATATGTTTGAATGTTTTAGAACCATTCTATCGCTGTATCTGCAAAGTCTTCCAACGCACCCATCATTTAGTTCATCTCCACCGCTACTCCACTGTTTACCTGCGGGGTGCGCACTTGCGAATCACTTCCGGGGGATTCTTGTGTTTCAAATGGAAATTGCAAAAAGTAATTTAGACGATCATTATTGGTTTACTGCATTTTCGTTTTAATTGGATCCACAGAAAACCAAAAACAAACCGATATTTCAATTTTGCATTAAATTCAAATATTGAGAATCAAAATCATCCCTCGTTATTTGTTTTTTCAATGTTGGTTTTATTTAGAAAATCAAAAGAACGAATGATACACGGATTCACCAGCTCACAGCGCCGCACCGCAACACAGAGTCGGGGTGCGTTCACAGACGGTGGAAACCGTAGGAATTTTTAGATTTCGGCGGAAAAAGTGCGAGAATACAGGAGGGAGGAACTTTCTCTCGTTGCGTTTCAAAAGAGAAAACAGATTCGAACGTTCATAGTGATGTCTGCCGTTCATGACACATAAAATGAACTAATTCAGGTTCAAGTTCTTTTTAAAAAAATGTGTTGCGTTCAGTTCAACGTTCACGAAAAAATGAGCGTGTTCAATGAACGCGTTCTTTTGAACTCGTTCACGCACAACACTGTGTAGTTGTATAGTATACTGTAGTAGAGTAGTGTAGTATACTGTACTGTAGTTGTGTAGTGTAGTATACTGTCCTGTAGTAGTGTAGTGTAGTATACTGTACTGTAGTTGTATAGTATACTGTAGAGTAGTGTAGTATACTATACTTTAGTAGTGTAGTGTTGTATACTGTACTGTAGTAGTGTAGTGTAGTATACTGTAGTGTAGTGTAGTATACTGTACTGTAGTAGTGTAGTGTAGTATATTGTAGTGTAGTGTAGTATACTGTACTGTAGTATACTGTAGAGTAGAGTAGTATACTGTACTGTAGTAGTGTAGTGTATTGTAATGTAGTAGTGTAGTGTAGTATACTGTACTGTAGTAGTTTAGTGTAGTATACTGTACTTTAGTAGTGTACTGTAGTATACTGTAGTGTAGTGTATTTCAAAGACATTAACATACTGTCCTGTAGTAGTATACTGTAGTGTAGTATATTGTAGTGTAGTGTAGTGCAGTATACTGTAGTGTAGTATATTGTAGTGTAGTGTAGTATACTGTAGTGTAGTAGTGTAGTGTAGTGTAGTATACTTTAGTGTAGTATACTGTAGTGTAGTGTAGTATACTGTAGTATACTGTAGTGTGGTAGTGTAGTGTAGTATACTGTAGTGTAGTGTAGTGTAGTGTATTTCAAAGACATTAACATACTGTCCTGTAGTAGTATACTGTAGTGTAGTGTAGTATACTGTAGTGTAGTATAGTGTAGTATACTGTAGTGTAGTAGTGTAGTGTAGTGTAGTATACTGTAGTGTAGTATACTGTAGTGTAGTGTAGTATACTGTAGTGTAGTATACTGTAGTGTAGTGGTGTAGTATACTGTAGTGTAGTAGTGTAGTGTAGTATTGTATACTGTACTGTAGTGTAGTGTATTTCAAAGACATTAACATACTGTACTGTAGTAGTGTAGTATACTAGTATACTGTAGTGTATTTCAAAGACATTAACATACTGTACTGTAGTAGTATACTGTAGTGTAGTGTATTTCAAAGACATTCACATACTGTACTGTAGTAGGAGTAGTAGTAATAATTAGGGCTGTCCAAAATAGCGCGTTATTAACGCGTTAACGCAAATCAATATTAACGCCGTCATTTTTTTTATCGCGCAATAAAAAAAAAAAAAAAAAAAAAAAAAGATTTTTTTTTTTTTTACTTTTTATTGCAGACAAACACATATACAGAAAAAAAATAGAAACAAAGAAAAGGACTAGTTCAGATACATTGTAGACAGAGATTACAAACAATATGTAGTTGGAGATACAGGGGGCCAAAGAAGAAACCCAGAAGGGCACATAGGAGGGGACGGGGGGGGGAGGGACATGAAGTGGGAGATGGGGGGAGGGGTTAATAAAAAAGGCAATACAAGCAAACAGTATACAGTCATAGATATACCGAAGGTAAACAGAGAAACAGCATAGAGTATTTACATGAACAAATTTACAAAATATTTACAGATTGTTTATCATCATCATAATGACACCATGATGTTTCTATACAGTCTATGGTCTATACCCACACATACACACACACACCCACACACACACATTGAAGGGGCTTTTTGTTACCAATTATTTATTTTGTCATCCATTTATTGATGATTTTGCATCAAATGTTAGTGTGTAATATAACACTACACATTGTTTTCAATAAAAAAAGCAATTGCACACAGCACGCAAATGTGTGACTAATTTGCGATTAATCGCGAGTTAACTATGAAATTCATGCGATTAATCGCGATTAAATATTTTAATCGTTGGACAGCACTAGTAGTAATCTTTAGTAATCTTTATTTATATACCGCTGCAGATCTGAGTCTCAAAGCGGTTTACAATTGTTAATTTTTTTGGGCATTTGTCTCTCACTCCACACAGAGATGGGAGCCGGGTCGCCAGTACAGGAGGCGCATGCTAGAACTATTGGACATATTTTTAGTGGTAGGGGAAACCGGAGTACCCGGAGGAAACCTACGCAGACACGGGGAGAACATGGAAACTCCACTCAGAAAGGCCCTGGTCCGACCTGGATTTGAACCCAGGACCTTCTTGCTGAGAGGCGAGAGTGCTATCCACTCAGCCACAGTACTACTGTAGTAGTATACTGTAGTGTAGTGTATTTCAAAGACATTCACATACTGTACTGTATGTGAATTACAGTTGTCACAGTTTAGATTGAGCACAGTCATCTTTTAATTCAAATAATTATGTTTATTCCTAAAGTGTTTGCCTCAATGAGGAAAAGCCTTAGCCAATATCCTTATATGGGCATTTGTTCAGAAGTGTTGCTAAGACCGTTGCTCAGGCAAGCTGGAGTTTCCACCGCCAAAGAAGGCATCTGATTGGTCAATCCTTTTAGGTTAAGGTTAAGGTACACTATATTTTTCCGTTTAGATAAATGTGTCCTCTGTATTGGACCCATCCTTCACTGGGTCATGTTCTGGAGCAGTGGTTGCCGTAGTGACAGGGGACCAGCTTCAGATGTTGATGCTCTTCAGGATCAGAGCTAGAGGATTAGTGGTAGGGAAAACTGGAGGAACCGGAGCACCTGGAGGAAACCTAGGGAGAACATGCAATCTACGACTGGGATTCAAACCCAGAACCTTCATTCTGATAAGCAAACGTGTTGTTAATGATAATGCTAACCACTATACAGTATATACATTTACAAAGACAATGTCCAAATATGAAGTACATCAAATATCACAGAGAATAGAGAAGTTAAAAGCTCATAAAAGTCAATATGCCTAAACAATAATAATAGTGAACTGTCTTCTGAGTCGATCCTCACATTTGTCTGTTTCCATGGAGACGTCACTGCTTTGATCAGAGTGTCCCACAGTAAACAGGTTTCTAGCGGCTTCCAGGTCACAGGTCACATGACGTGTTGCACATTGTTCCTTCTACACTGTGTCTGAGATCTTTTTGTTTTTGTATGTTCCCGTTTCCACCCGCCCTACACTACTGTACTCTACTGTACTCTACTCTGCTCAACTCTGCTCTGCTCGACTCTACTCTACTCTTCTCTGCTCAACTCTACTCTACTCTTCTCTGCTTTTCTCTACTCTACTCTACTCTACTCGTTTGTTGTGGGTTGGTTGCTGGGATTCGGTTCCAGATATTCTTGGGTTTCATTAATCTGGCCAGTAGGGGGCGAATGAGCAGAGGTGGGACAACTCAGTTTTGCTCCCATTGAAAACCATGTAAATCGTGTCTGTTTTGTAGTCAAAAGGCTCTAATCCTGTGCGGTGTACGGTTGTTGTAACAGTCTTAATCAATTCTAAGGGATTTCTGATTTCGGGCTTTTAAAAAATAAAACAAATTAAAAAATACAGAAGAAATTGCTGCTTTTCATTTGGGTGGCCTGCAGGGGGCACTTATCTGGGAAAGCCTTGATCCACCTCGCCCGCCTCATTCGAGTGATTTTTTTCAAAGTGTACTCACAGTTGGAACACGGAAGACAATCTTGTCTTTCTCCCTATTTTCGCGGTTGCTACAACCGTACGCCGCACAAAAAGATGGCCTTTTGACTGCGCTTCTTCTTCTACTATATCTCCGTGTATAAACCCGGCAGACTGCACCCCCAGGTTACGCCTCCTGTCCCACGTTTGCTATTCGCGCCACTGCCCTGACGTCATATGAAACCCAAGAATTAAAGTTTAATGGAAACACATCCAGGTACAGTAGAGTAGACTAGAGCAGAGTAGAGCATTGCAGAGAAAAGTAGAGTAGAGTAAAGTAGAGCAAAGCAGAGTAGAGTAGAGAGCACAGAGCAGAGGACACATCTTTTTTCTCACTGTATTCTATCCTTAAATATTCCAATAATACATAGATTTCTTTTCCAACACGTCCCGAGCCCCTGCACCAGCCTCAGCATCAGCAGAGCTCTGTGGCCCTGGCCGGTCGACCCTGAGGGAACATTAACCAACATTAGCAGAGAAAAGACTCGTTCTTCCTGGGTAAAGTCCTGTGTTTTGGGGGTCACAGAAGTTACCCCGGTTACTGCAGCAGGAAGACAAGACCGTGCGTTTGTCCATTGTTCCTCGTGGGGAAATGAGATTAGTGCCTGAATGGTGATGTGAGAGAGCTTTCAAAGGGTTTGGTTCGGCCAGCTCCCCATGCAGCCCCACTGAGCGCCGAGGCTGCTGCACTTTACGACCAATTTGCAAATGTGACATATGTTTTACAGCTGTAGTTAAAGAGGAAGTAACATGTGACATCAACGGCTACTCCGCCGATTTAGAAACTATTCAAAAACAGGATTGTATCATGAAATAAAACTGTTTTAAAAGGAAGGACTGATGAAGTGTTGTGCTTCTCATGCGCCGCCTGTGTGTGTACTCCAACAACATCAGCCAGTATGACAGTTACCTTTATTTTAGCCCAGAAGAAAACTTTTGTGGCTTGTGTGGACCGTGGTGGTCAGTTCAGAGGACTCTCTCTCTCTCTCTGGTCTTTAGTCTTTCTCTAGTCTCTCCATAGTCTCTCTGGTCTCTCTCTGGTTTCTCTTTGGTCTCTTTCTAGTCTCTCTCTGGACACTCTCTCCCGTCTCTTTTTCTGGTCTCTCCCTGGTCTCGCTCTACTCCGCTCTCACGTTCTGGTCTCTCTCTGGTCTCTCCCTGGTCTCGCTCTGGTCTGGTCTCACCTTCTGCTCTCTCTCTGGTGTCTTTTTCTGGTCTCTCACTGGTCTCTTTCTGGTCTCGCTCTGGTCTCTCTCTGGCGTCTTTTTCTGGTCACTCTCTGGTCCTTCTCTTTAGTATCTCTCTGATCTCTCTAAGGTCTCTCACTGGTCTCTTTGTCTGGGTCTCTCTGGTATTTCGGTCTGGTCTCTTCCTGGTCTTTTACTGGTCTCTCTCTATAGTCTCTCTCTTGTCTCTCTCTGTTTTCTCTCTATGGTCTCTTTGGTCCCTCTCTCGACCCACTCTAGTTTCTACATAGTCTCACTCTGGTCTCTCTGTGGCCTTTCTCTGGTTTCTCTCTGGCCTCGTCCATCTCTCTCTAGTCTCCCTCTGGGCTCTCCTTAGTCTCTCTCTGGTCTCTGTCTTAGTCTCTCCATAGTCTGTCCACAGTCACTCTCTGGTCTCTCACTGGTCTCTTTCTCGCTGGTCCCTCTGTCTGGTCCCTTTCTGATCCCTCCATAGTAACTCAGCAGCACTAACTTCTATACAAAGGAACCTTCTAATCCTTAAACATAGTGAACACAGACTGACCGTCCTTCATGGTTGTGTCTCCAGGTGTGGGTGGACGCTGGGACCCAGATCTTCTTCTCCTATGCCATCTGTTTGGGTTGTCTCACTGCTCTGGGGAGCTACAACGCCTACGACAACAACTGCTACAGGTCAGCAGAGCATCTCTCTGAAAAGTGAAATAAAGAGCCAATGGACTCTCAGCCCAAACTGTCAAATACTGACTCACAGGGCTCATTCTTACAATAAACAGATTTCTACAAAGATAAAGACAGATCTGATTTGTTCACATAGTAATTTTGTATTATTATGAATGTATTATTCATGACAGGAGAAATTCACGTCAATGTATTTGTGTATTTGTCTGAATCACAACAGCCGTCATCTTGGAGAACTTTACAAAGTTGTGAATTTGCCAACAACAAATCAGAGAATCACTCAAAAAAAAAAAAATGCGGGAAAAAGTATTAGAAACCTCAGGGAGGCCTATATGGAGAGAGGGATCCGCTCCCACAGACGGACAAGCTGTAGATCCAGGACTGAGGCTGTAGATCCAGGACTGAGGCTGTAGATCCAGGACTGAGGCTGAATATCCAGGACTGAGGCTGTAGATACAGGACTGAGGCTGTAGATCCAGGACTGAGGCTGTAGATCCAGGACTGAGGCTGTAGATACAGGACTGAGGCTGTAGATCCAGGACTGAGGCTGTAGATCCAGGACTGAGGCTGAATATCCAGGACTGAGGCTGTAGATACAGGACTGAGGCTGTAGATCCAGGACTGAGGCTGAATATCCAGGACTGACACTTCAGACCCAGGACAGAGCTTTTACATAAGACCATAGCGACTTTAGCTGTCGGAGGGTAAATTCGGTGAATTAGATGCAGACTGATCACTTGATGCTGTTTCTGTTATTTTTGTTTTTTTTGGTCCATTATAAACACAATTTATTATTATTATTATTATTATTATTATTATACCTCCGTTTTCTGATCTATGTCACTCTTCTCTGTGTTTCCTCAGGGACTGCATCATGCTGTGTTGTCTGAACAGTGGGACCAGTTTCATGGCAGGTTTTGCCATCTTCTCTGTGCTCGGGTTCATGGCCTATGAGCAGAATGTACCCATCGAGGCTGTGGCTGAGTCGGGTGAGACGGGGGAGGCTGAGAAACTGAGGGGGGAGTCTGATATATGTATGAGTAGTGTAACAAGTCATCAAGCCAGGTTTGGAGATCCACTTCCCAGGCCAGCTCTCCCACCTGGCTCGTATACAGTATGTGTCCTCTTTAAAGAAGCTATACCCGATTATTTTTCTATTGAGTTCATAAAAATGCTTATTACTATATACAAACTCTATTATAATCCGTAATTTAATTGAAAACTTGAGCTCATTGATTCAGCTGTGTATGAATTCAGGCCGTATAAAAGTGCTGAGTAGAGACTTAGCGTGACTCACAGAACGAGGCTGCGTCCTCTACCCTCTACAGAGCTGCTAAACACAGTAGCATGTTAGCAGCAAGTGGCTATAACTCCTCTGGCTGTAACTGCAGACACAGCAAAACAGCCCAAACGACACAACAGTAAGGAAGAGAAGAACTAAAGCAAGAAAATGATCAAAGAAGAAATCAAGCCCGGGTAAACATAGCTAGCTTACATCGTGTCCTCTGGAGAGACTTGTCTATGGAGAGACCTGCGGGACTGCCTCGGACTATCTATGCTCGGACTATCTATGCTCGGACTACATTCGGACACGGAACTAGCGATAATCTTTCAGTTATATATTTTGTTAGCATTGCGTTGCTTTTGTACCATTTCATCAGTGATTGTTGTACAGCTTACAAGAAGTTGCGTTCATGCTAATGTTTATATGTAGCAGATCGCAAATAAAACTAGATGGCTCCATGGGATGAGAGCGTAGGAGAATTGAGAAGCCTGTGAGCGAGTTGAGGGGCGGTGCTAAACATTCAAACCTTGCAGAAACAGGTATAGCTCCTTTAACAGGTCACATACATCTCAGAGCAGATTACAGACCCTGCCTTTAATTCAGAAGTTTTGATCTTTTCTCACACAGTTCTGGTTGTCAGACCTCAGCTGTGCACAGTTCATGTACATTATGGAAAATCATTTTAAGGGACCAGACCGAGATCTAAGAGAGACCAGAGGGAAAGACCTGAGAGAGACCAGAGAGAGACATACCAGAAAGTGAGACCAGACGGAGACTTGTATTAGTTTCACATTGTACGTTGACTTATAGTACTTAAGTAACTTATAGGACTTAAGTAAATGGACTTTTGAACCAGTTTCACCTGTAATAAGCTGCTTCTGTCCAATAACAAAATATCAAGAGAAATGTTTGTTATCTTTAGTCCCTTTATTATTTGCAAAGATCTCCCATAGTTGTAGTCTGTGATTGGCCCAGTGTTGGATCATAGTAAAATGGACAGAGAGTGTTGCGTAACTCCACTCTTCTTCGCCTTCTTCTCTCAGACTGTGATGCATCTTTTATTCAAAACAATAAATGATTTAGAGAAAGCACAGAGCAGGAGACTGGGAGGTTTGTATCTCAGCAACATTCACAACTCTGCCAAGAAGAATAATTCAATTCAATGTAATTGTTTATTGCCCTAAATCTTTACAAAGTTGTGGATTCACCAACAACAGATCACAGAATCAGACAGTTCTAACGCAGGAAATGCAATAATAACAAACACATAGAAGCCATTGGTCCATAGGAGCGAAACTACCACTGTCCAGAAATGTTAATAAATGTCCCGGATCATCACTGTCTGTAGACCCTCCTGCATTGGCAAGAAACCACTCAGAAACCCAGGACTGAGGCTGTAGATCCAGGACTGAGGCTGTAGATCCAGGACTGAGGCTGTAGATCCAGGACTGAGGCTGTAGATCCAGGACTGAGGCTGTAGGTCCAGGACTGAGGCTGTAGATCAAGGACTGAGGCTGTAGGTCCAGGACTGAGGCTGTAGATCCAGGACTGAGGCTGTAGATCCAGGACTCAGGTTGTAGATCCAGGACTGAGGCTGTAGGTCCAGGACTGAGGCTGTCTCCTTCTCTGGTATCTCTCTGAGGTGTGTGTGTTTCCGCAGGTCCTGGTCTGGCGTTCATAGCATACCCCAAAGCTGTGACCATGATGCCTCTGGCTCCGCTCTGGGCCTGCCTCTTCTTCATGATGCTCATCTTCCTCGGTCTGGACAGTCAGGTCTGACACAACACCACATGTCATTTATAGTTTGAAACACTTTTTAATGTAAGAAGTAAAAAATACTTATAAACGCCTACCCCTTCATTGGATGATTAAATTACATACTTCATATATTGATTACGTAATCGATAAATACATTTCAGAAGTACCGGAGAATGACGCTTCTTCATTCTCAAAACAGTTCTATCTCTAGTTTTCCCATGAGTGTGATTATGTTTGTGGCCTCCGTCAAATCTTTAGAATCAGAATCATTTTTATTGCCATGTATGTAACAGGAAGTCACAGACGAGAAAACTGCTTTGGCTCTCGGTGCAAACAAGTCAAGGCATAATAACACATTTCTGAAGTATAACATTTTCTAAAATATATATATTTTTAAAAGTAAATATAAATGTAAGCTCTCTGCGACATCCTTCCAGGTTCTTCAGCTTTAATCGTTGCTGGGTCGTTGGGGCTGCAGTCTGAACTTTCCTCTCCGCACAAACTTCCTCCAGCTCATCTGGGGGAATCCTTAGGCATTTCCAGGCCAGCTGAGAAGACCTCTATCTGGAAAGACTTGAGACAAAGATTGCATTAGAATTATATTTATTGTCATAATTGCATGACTAGACAACTAAACACAGCACTAATGGATGAATATATTTATTGCATTTGAACAGGGATGCTCTTAAAGAGCGACTAAACACCTGTGCCCAGCCTTACTCCGCCCACATGAAAATGTTCTCTTAAAACGGCGTTGCCCGAGGACCAAGGGACAAGAAGGGGGGGCTTAGAATTGGGCGTGGTCTGGGATGTGATTGACAGCTCGCTTGTCACACAAAAAACAGACAGTTGCCATTGCTGCTTAAAGCAATAGTTTACAGACCAGAAAGTCTCATTCCACCCTTGTTTACACACTAATATAATTGTAAAGCTACACACCTGAACCTAAGCCACAGAATTATCTCAGCAGCAGTGGCTGTCAACGAATCCACTAGATGTCGCCAGAACACTCCAACTCTCTGCTGGGGTGTGTGAGAGTTGGACTGGCGAAGAGAGACGCTCGTCGCACATATCAACCGACATCACACATCACTCCAGAGCCAATGGAGAGGCCAGGCACCAACCTCAAATGTAGTGCCACCAAAAAGGTAGAGAGGGCGCCACACAGACAGACAGACAGAGTTTTAGGCTCAAACGTGAGATTTTATCTGATTTGCACTAAAATGTCAAAAAAATGACCAGGATATGTTGAGAGCACTATAAGAAACATATTTATGCGTGTTTATGAGTTAAAAAGAAGTTAATTTGGTGTTTAGTTGTCCTTTAAGATTTGGCAATTAGACCCCAGCAAGAATATTGCATGACGTACGAAGGAGAACGTTTAACAGAGATGATGAACTTGTGAACCACGGGGCCGAGACCCTGATGGCGAAGACGCTGAGCTGAAGACATGACATGATACTCGACTGAATAGGCAGTGATGGGGAGGAGGTGGGTTGCTGCTTGAACAGCATCTTGAAGCTGCAGAGAACTGAGAGGCTCTGTTTAAAGCCGTGTAGTGACAAGCACAGGTCTGTGACTGCGCAGCGTACACTGGTGAGCTAGTTTTACCTTGAGCCAAAACAAATTTCTGTTTGTGACTTCAGTTGGCGTTTGAGGATCTTGCACCTTCAAACACTTCTTTAGGTCCTTCAGAGGTATATTTCAGATACCTGCATGCTGTCTCTGCCCCCAGTTTGTGTGTGTGGAGAGTCTGGTGACTGCGGTGGTGGACATGTACCCCGACATGTTCCGGAGAGGGAACCGCAGAGAGGTGCTGATCCTGGGCATGTCCATCGTCTCCTTCCTCATCGGACTTATCATGTGTACAGAAGTAAGAACCAGAATTATGATCTGCAATATGTTCCTGTGTCTCTGCTTGTATATGTTTTAATTTTTAACTAACTTTACGTATACCGTGAGACTATTGTTGAAAATTAATATTAAGCTTTACGTTTTGCGTTTATTTACAATTTGTTTGCTCAAAAAGAAGTAGGAATGTTTCGGTTTGCAGAGACAGGATAAACAGTTTATTTACAACATCAGAAGGCTCTCTGGTCTCTCTCTTTGGCCTCTCTCTTTGGTCTCTTTCTGGTCTCTCTCTTTCGGATCTCAATCTGGTCTAAACAGTTTATTTACAACACCAGAAGGCTCTCTGGTCTTTCTCTCATCTTTCTCTCTTTGGTCTCTCATTCTGTTCTCTCTCTCTGGTCTCTCAGATACTTATGTACACTACCGTTCAAAAGTTTGGGGTCATATTGAAATGTCCTTAATTTTGAAGGAAAAGCACTGTAGATAACTTTAAACTAATCTTAACTGTAAAGAAATACACTCTATACATTGCTTATGTGGTAAATGACTATTCTAGCTGCAAATGTCTGGTTTTTGGTGCAACGTTGTAATTGCTGCAAATGGAGGATTCTTTGACGAAAGCAAAGTTGGATGTAAAACAAATCTTATTTCAAATACAAATCATCATTTCTAACCTTGTCAATGTCTTGACTATATTTTCTATTCATTTCACAACGTATAGTGGTGAATAAGTGTGACTTTTCATGGAAAACACTTGGGTGACCCCAAACTTTTGACTGGTAGTGTATACCAGAGGTGGGACAAAGTCATTGTTTAGCAAGTCACAAGTCAGTCTCAATTCATTGCCCTCAAGTCCCGAGTCAAGTCACGAGTCAAGACAGGCAAGTCCCGAGTCGAGTCCTAGTCAAAGGCCAACAAATCTCAAGTCAGTCCCAAGTCCTACGGTTTGACTTTCGAGTCCTCTCGAGTCTTTTTGACCGCGATTTGTTTCTTGTTGGTCTCCACGTACTTTTGTAGGCAAACAAAATAATGTTAGGAATCATTTTGCTGGTGCATTCTCGTTGGTCTCTGACCCATGGACTAACAGTTTGTTCCATGTGGTTGGCTGCTGGTAAATCAAAACTATGTTGTGCCAGATGCAGGCTCAGTTACACATGCACAGACCACACATAAAATCAGAGCAGTCCGTGTCAACATACTTTTTATCTTTGGGGTTTTTAATGGGAAGTAGCAAGTGCAGCATATATGAATATGAGTATTGGGCTAGGACCTGTATCTATATAATCAGTTTAATGTCCATAGTGGTTATTGTTCCAAAGGACTGAAGGGACCAATGGAGGGGAAGGAACCTGGCCTGTATGAACTGGGCCAGCATTAGTAATATCTCATAATTACCAATATATCATTACATAATAAAATGTCTCATATAAATTAATTCAATCAGTCAAAGTACTGATTCTCATATCAATGAACCATAAACAATAGTGCAAATATTAATCTAGCTTAGTGCACATAATCAAAACAACTATCTAATGTATGCAAACTTTAGCAGGAGGAGCACAGCAAAAACATACTCATAATAATAGGCCTCGGCGCCCACACAGAAAAATATAAGAAAGAGCCAACAGAGCAGCGCAGGCTAGCGCTAGTTTGACTCACCAGTTCCTCTTTAAAACACGGCACACAGTGTGACAACTGCGTCGATTCAATTGTATGAGGCGCCTGTAGTGAAAGCATATAATTACGGTTTGTAGAACAAAATATGACGTTAGGTCGCGATAAATACCTGCAGCTCGCTCATTTCCAGCTCCCCTACGACAACACACCCACCGGTGAATGCAGTCCGCTTGTTTAGGGAAGTGTTGCTGCGCGAACTGCCTGGAACTCACGTTCGAACTCTCTCGCGAGCGCTACAACTACCGCGAGGCTTTGTTTCTTCAGAGACGGCATAGATAGAAAGAGAGATGCGGAGAAAGGTAAAAATGGCCCGGGTTACGCAAGTCTTTGCAAGTCAATTGGCGCAAGTCCAAGTGAAAGTCAGAGTCATTGATGTTAAAGTCCAAGTCGAGTTGCAAGTCTTTTTATATTTGGTCAAGTCGAGTCTAAAGTCATCAAAATCATGACTCGAGTCTGACTCGAGTCCAAGTCACATGACTCGAGTCCACACCTCTGGTGTATACATATATTAATTTGTTTGTTTATTGGGACAGTGGACGTTAATCGAAATGTGTCCATGTAAATATGACATGAAGGCGCAGGTTGATTTTACCTCCATCATAAAACAAACAGAGCAACAGTTATTAAAAGCCACATACAAACATAAAACGCAGGTTCGTAATATACAGTATTTGCAGTTTTATTTCATGCTTCAAACACAGTTGTATCTTTCACTTTTGCCAATTACTGCCTCACACACCTCCACACACCTCTTCTCATCAACGCCTCATGTTCTTCTCACCGCTGAACTTTACATTCACCGGAAACATGTGCAGAAACTTCTGAGGCTTCTGTTGTTAGTGTCAAAGATAGTTAAGTTTCACCTGAGCTCGTTTCAATGTGCTGTAATATATTTACTTAAAAAATATATGTATGGAAGTGGCTATTAATGGGGAAGGGGATAAAGCAGAGAGAGATCAGAGAGAAAGACTACAGAAAGAGACCATGGAAACTAGAGAGACGAGAAAGAGACCAGAGAAAATCACAAGAGAGAAACCTGGGAGAAAGACCAGAGCAAGGCCAGAGAGACAGATAAACCCAGAGAGAAACCAAAGAGATTAGCTCACAGTAAGCGTTTTACACTCGCCATTTTGGGTTTAGGGTTAGGGTTTAGGTTCAATGATCCTGGTGTTTATATTATGTATATATTGCCCAAAATGAAGGACCAATCTTTCTACGCTTATCAATATCAATCTGAAATAGACAGTTGCAGGAGACCAGCAGTGAGCATGGCCTTCCTGGTGTCAGACCTGGTTCTTGGAGATGAAAGCGTCTGAAATACACATAGTTATTCTGAGGATCTTGTGCCACTCTGAATGTGACGTAACCTGCTGCAGGATTTATGTGTTTTGTTATGCATGAGGCTTTTCTCTGGAGTAAGAGGAGAAGTGGAGTTCTTTGTGGAGATGGAGGTGATAACACAGGGTCAGACGGATTTATCACGGACCAGTGGAAGTAGAAAGAGCATCAAGGAGATGTTCAACTCTGCAGAATCCTCTATTTTGTGATTTTATCTGCATATGAAAACATCATATAACCGCTAGTATAACATGACAATTACCTTTATTTAAAGTAATAAGTAAGAACACTTTTGAGGTTGTATGGGCCGCCATGATTGGTTCAGAAGACTTTCTCTGTCTCTGGTCTCACTCTCTCTGGTCTCGCTCTCTGGTCTCGGTCTCTGGTCCCGCTCTCTGGTCTCTCTCTCTCTGGTCTCTCTCTCTTTGGTCTCTCTCTCTGGTCTTGCTCTCTGGTCTTGCTCTCTGGTCTCTCTCTGGTCTCTCTCTCTGGTCTCTGTGGTCACTGGGGTACTCGTGCACAGGTAACCACAGCTGTGGTTTACACACAGGTGCTGTTTAAACCTTTCTGGCCTCATCTATGTGTCCTCCCCCTCTGCCCTCACCCATGTGTCCTCCCCCCTCTGCCCTCACCCATGTGTCCTCCCCCTCTGCCCTCACCCATGTGTCCTCCCCCTCTGCCCTCACCCCTGTGTCCTTATGCTGTGTGTTCTTCAGGGAGGGATGTACGTCTTCCAGCTGTTCGATGCGTACGCCGCCAGTGGGATGTGTTTGCTGTTCGTCGCCATCTTTGAGTCCATATGTATCGGCTGGGTCTACGGTAAGAGACGAGCACAAACGCACATGTTAGAATGAGACATACACAGAAATATGGGGCTCTGTGACTAAAATACCAGTTCTGACCAGATTATACAAGGTCTTGTGTCGGGCTTTAGGTACACTCAAAAATGTGACCAAAAACAGGTTACAACCTCATCAAAACAGACCTGGAACTGGTCCCATAATAATATCAGGAACGTCTGGTACAAATACATTCAATTTGATGCATTTGCGTCTCACACTAAGTAACTTACAATACAAATACAAATACAAATACAAAGTGCAGAAATGTCCCGAATCATCGCTGTTCTTAGATCGTCCTCCATCATAAAGTAACCACTCAGAAACCCAGGCCTGAAGCTGTAGGACCAGGCCCGAGAATGTAGATCCAGGGCTGAGGCATGTTTTTGACGCTACAACCCTATAGAATCAGGCTTATTGTTTAGAAGGCTCTTTACATGTTTGTCTTTTTAAAAGAACATTCTTAGCATTAAACATAAGAAGACAAAATGAACTTTCCTGTAAAATCATGTATAGCAAGTATGTTCCCCTCTCTTTGGAACCAATAAGATTTCCTGGGGAAGATTAGTCGGGCCAATGAGAAGGGGCCTCCTCTGTGTATGTTGTAGTGTTTATTTTTATAGCGCATTTACAGACCAAGGTCACCCAAAGCGCTTTACAATTGTTCAATTATAAATCCAGAATTTGAATGTATTTTGTCCAATCAGCGGGGGTGAAAGTGGGCGGGTCTAATCAGGGATCTCTCTCTCTTCACGATTCAGAAAGTAACGGGCTTTAACTTTAATTTGTCATGTTTTCATTATTTCACATTGTAAAGCACAGTGTATATTCTCAAGATCCTGTTTTAAGGATGACCAGAACAATGCATCATAATGATTCTAGTTTTTTTGACACATACTAAACACAGGCCGTCACTCTGACTGCTCTGATCCTTGTTTGATGCATGTGTGTTTTTAAAGGGTTCTTGTCAAATGTACAAAGTGAGACCAGACAGAGGTCAATAATATATGACATTTGTTTTGTGGAAGGCTCCCATTATGTGTCGGTGTGTTTCCATTGTTTGTGTGCCCTCTGCTGGAGATGAGGGAGAAGTACATGCAGCTCTACTGTACACATAGTACACATACATAGATACATAAATCGGGATGTATCAGAGTTAGACGCCTATATCTTCATTCTTTTTAATACACTGATGATTGTGATTATTTATGGTCCTTGTGTACAAACTGTGCTATATAAATAAACTGGCCTTGGCTTACAGATAAAACTGACATCATAGTGTTGGTTTATATCATACTTCAGTTTCTAATTGTTAATTAAACTTTAGTGACATAACCACATTCTACTGGACTACTCTTATCCTCTAGAGCAGTGTCTCCCAAAGTGGGGTCCGCGGCCCCCTGGTGGGCCGCGAGGGTACTGCAGGGGGGCCGCGGGAGGTCATAAAAAAAATAAAAACATAACATAATTATTTAATGTTAAATTTATAATGTTTTGTTTGTAATATTAAAATATTTGTGTTCATTATTTGACTTGAATAATCCACTGTAATCATTTTTGTATTACAATGTTTTTAGCAGAGGCTATTTCCCCAAAATAAAATAACCAGAAGAGCCTATTCTTAATGTTGTCTTCTTGGTTATTATTTTGGGGGGCCACGCAGACCCGTCAGATTTTTAAGGGGGCCTCGGTGTTACTGAGTTTGGGAATGGCTGCTCTAGAGATCGACAGTTGATAGATCTGTGTTCAAACGCCTCCTTTACACCAGGGGGTGCTCTAACACAACACATACATTGGCCAAAGAGTAAAAAATAAATAAAAAATACCACGTATAGTGCAATGAGTCCTGTAATGGCTCTTCCTTAAAGCTGGGGTATGTAACTTTCAAAAACATGTTTTAGCAATGTGGCCATACTTCTCATCAGAGTGTGCAGAGCAGGGCCAGGTTAGTACTGTGATGGGAGACCTCTGGGAGCACCTGGTGCCACAGTGAGGCGGCTGTGGCTGTAAAGTTCCAAATTATTGTTGTGTCTTTAGGCAAAACACTTCACCCACTGAGTGGCTGATGGTGGTCGGAGGCACATACTGGTTGCCTTGCTTCTGTCAGTTTGCCCCAGGGCAGCTGTGGTGAAAGAATACGTGAAAGAATAATGACATGTGAATCGTCTTTGAGTGTCTAAATAGTGCTGTATAAAACCGATGCATTATTATTATTATATATTATATTATTCATCCATCCATTTTCTACCCTTTAATCCATTTCTGGGTCAGGGGGGTGGCAATCAGAGATGCCACCCAAGTCTCATAGCACCAGCCCCTCACTGACCCTCTGCAGGTGGTGAGTCCACAGGAGGACAGCTGCTCTCTGAGTGTGAGCATAGCCTTGATCTTTCAGTGGGGGCTTTGGGCAAAGTGGGGTTAAGTGTCTTGCCCAAGGACACAACGACAGCAGTCATCAGTGGGAGTCGGTGGAGAAGGTGTAGAGGTGGGATTTGAACCCACGACCTTCAGGCCTGAAGGCCAATGCTCTACCAACTGAGCTACTGTCGCCCTCATTATATTATTATATTATTAATTATTATTAACGTCATAAATCAGTTCCTAAATTGGTTCACTAATATTCATTAATGTTCACTGTTGTGACGGAGACTCAATGTCATCACATCCCTCTTTCTCACCTCCTCCTCACCTCCTGCTCCTCATTTTCCTCTACTCTTCCTTCTGATCATCTCATCTTCATCTTCCTCATCTCCTCCTCCACCTCTAACTCCTTGTCTTGTGTGTGATTTCAGGCAGTGACAGATTCTACTTAAACATCGAGGACATGATTGGATACAAACCAATCTTCTTCATTAAGTGGTGCTGGATGTTCCTGACCCCCGGCATCTGCGCAGTGAGTCCAGACCAGACCGATACAGACTTGTCCAGACCAGTCCAGACCCTAACAAGTCCTATCTAGTCCAGACTTGGCGACCGTTGCTCTGTCTCATTACAACCTCTGACAGATTCTGTTCACCTCGATATTTGAGTGATGTATTGAAGGAGACATTGGATTTTCACTGTGTTACAACAGTTTTCTCATATCAAACAGGCCTGGAATTGTGTTTAGCTACACATTTGCATTAACACAGACGTCTAAACACTCCTGTCTTCAGTTCTGTAACTATGTCATTGTACCACTATGACATCTCTAGGAGCAGTTTACTGAATTTTAACAAAAAGAACCGGAGAGGGACTGTAGAGAGACCAGAGAGACACCAAAGAGACATAAGACTAGAGGAAGACTAGAGAGCGACCAGGGAAAACAGACACAGGGAGAACATGCAAACTTCACTTATACTCCTGTTACACATTAACTCCAGAGACATGGCAGAAAACTTAAAAGACAAAAAGTACACAGATAAAGCATCATAGTTCTTCTTTAAACTCTTAATGTAAAAATGTGTTACAAATGTTCAGGTTTTGGCCCAGTCTTCAGCCTGATCAGACAGAGTGACCTTTTTCCTCAGTCTTCAGACAGATTGGACAGCGTGACCTTTGACCTGTGTCTGTGATGTAGTGTTGAAACCAAATGTTTTTGTTGTCGCTGCAGGGGATCTTCCTGTTCTTTCTGATTAAATACAAACCTCTGAAGTACAACAACGTGTACACCTATCCAGACTGGGGCTACGGCATCGGCTGGTTCATGGCCATGTCCTCCATGGTCTGCATCCCCATTGGAATGGCCTGGAAGATCTGGAAGACCCCCGGAACTTTCTCTGAGGTGAGAGAGCGAGAGAGAGAGACAAGAGATAGCCATTAGCCAAGAGAGAGACGAGAGAAAGAGAGACTAGAGAAAGACCAGACAGAGACAAGAGACCTGAGAGAGACCAGAGAGAGCAGTGGAACCTCCACCATGTTTGGACTGTAACATCTGTTTATTTGCCGTGTGTCTCATGCAGAGGATAAAGAAGCTGACCACCCCGAGTCCAGACCTGAAGATGAGAGGGAAACATGCGGCGCTGAGTCCATACGCCTCCAACGACGCCAAGGCCAAAGGCGACTGCAAAGTCTCCACCATCTCAGAGAAGGAGTCGCATTTCTAACCTAAACTCCCAGGTCTATAATGACAGCGAATCCACTGCAGAAGTATGTCCACCTGAGATTATGGCTGGGATCACAACAGCTTGTTCTGTGCTGGTTTTGACTAGTTTAAAATGAGAAAGGTTCAGCAATCTGTACGTTCACTCACCACAGACAGATAATACTTCTGAAAATTATAAAAGAACCGGTCTTAAAGGTGCACAAATGTCATAGTCTCTCTCTCTCTGGTGTCTCTAGTTTCTTTCTGGCCTCTCCACCTGGTCTCTATCTGGACTCTCTGGTCTTCCTGTAGCCCTCAGTCCTGCTCCTGCCCCTCAGCGCGGTGTCCCCTGCAGCTGTACTTTACAGTGTAGACATGGCTTTTGACAGCTGCGGCAGCACTCAGACCTATAACCAGCAGGTTTGATATCTCTGGTCTCTCTCTCTCTCACACCACCACTTCAGGTGGTTTGAAAAGTGTTTAAAGTGTGTGTGAGAGGTTTTACAGCCTTCACTCCCGCGACAAACCAGGACTACTGTATATGCAATTGCATTCATACAAAATCTGTGTCACTAAAAATCCAAAAATGGGAAGAAGAAAAACCTAAATTTCCAATCCCATCTTGTTACTCCATATTATTCATGTTTACTTGTTTAACTCCATGCAAGAAGAGACAACGACATCTCCCGGGGACTTACATGGTGCACCTTTAAATACCACAAAAAGCAAGACCGTATCTTGCCCTTCTGAATCTAAAAGTCAAAAATCCTCAAAACAGGTTAGTTATTGTGAAGCTAGTCCTTCTAACTCATGTTGTTCTTCTGTTGTTGCACTGTCGCTGAGCCCAGTGCACACAAGCAGAGCGGCTGTTGTATGCTTTTGTAAAAAATGATAAAAAGTGTATCAGTTACTTTTTGATAACATCTGTATTGTGTTGTTGCTCTGTTAACATGGTTTTGTTGCTAATCACTAATGTTTTCTGTCCAGTGTATGAGATTGTGTCGCACTTGTCTCACTGTACATTCTGGTCTTGTGTCCAAAGGGACCCAAACATGGCTCTACAGCTTCAGCGATCGGAAATTAGGAATACTTCATTACAATACTGAGACTCTCGCTATCGGTATTGTAAACTTTAAAAAGTAGAGTATTCACCAACAACAGATCAAACGAACACTGGAAATTACCAAATTATCATGCATTTTTGTACACATTTATATATGTTTCCATTATTAATAAACAGAAACACAGAAAATGAACAACAAGAAGCTCAGGCTTTGTTGTAGACATTATGAAAGGAGTGGACTTTGTTGCATTGCAAGACATAGGGATTACATCATCACGCTCTGTATACAATATTGGGACCTCTGGATTCATGTAGGTGTGGTTTAATTCCAGTCGTCAGCAGGAGAGGGCACTGTTACGGTAGTGTACACATGTCCCAGTGAAAGTGCTTGTATGACTGAGGGCTCCACACACATATTTTTCATATTTGTCGGTCTAACTTGGATGTGTTTGCGTGCGTTCGTCAGAGAGAGTCCTGAAGGGCTTTCTGATCCTTATGCCTTTTGAAACTGTGGGGCTACTGCAACTGCTATTCCAGAAATAACAACATGAAATCACCGTTTTACTACAGAACGGCTCAGAGAGGGTATGTGAGGTGCCGAATCCACCGCGGAAGTCTGCTAATTTTGGTCAGTTTTGGAATTTTATTTTTTACAAGACAAGATTTTATGTTATTTCTATACCATATAGAGACGAAATAAACAGTTATTTCTAAGATTAGAATATATATTTTTTGCAACTGGTCAAATTCAAATGACTACGACCCCTTAGAGCAGGACATTCCAAATCTTCAGCCAGCACAAAGTAGCGGTTGAGATATTTTCACAGCGTCATCCAGCTAACTTCAGCTCCAACCAATCTAGTCTATAACTAAACCTTGTCGTAACCTCAGAACCTCTGGAATTCAGCCATTAACTTTGTATGCGCACAATTCAATTCAATGGATTTGTGTAATGCCCTAAATCCCAACAGCAGTCGTCTCTGAGTTGTCGAAAGTTGTGGATTCACCAACAAGAGATCAGAGAATCAAACACCACAAAGGCAAAAAACAAAAACACCTTGAGGCCATTGGTCCATAGGGAGGCTGTAGATCCAGGACTGATCCAGCTGTAGATCCAGGACTGAGGGTGGAGATCCAGGACTGAGCGTGGAGATCCAGGACTGAGGGTGGAGATCGAGGACTGAGGCTGTAGATCCAGGACTGAGGGTGGAGATCCAGGACTGAGGCTGTAGATCCAGGACTGAGGGTGGAGATTCAGGACTGAGGCTATAGAATGATGAAAAACAGTTAGGAACCACTCAAAACAAGGCCCATATTGACAGAGGGATCCGGACCACCATCTCCATTTTGGACACCCAGAGCTTGACAGCACTTGTTAAGAGAGGCAGAGCACAGATCCATCTGGCAAGACTGAGTATGGAAGTGCACCAACCTGTGTCTTTTGTAAAATAGCTTTTGTTCAACATTTTAACATAGATTGTCATGGATGATCCCTTCATAGCCCTGACCACAGATGGAACCCTATCATTCTAAGGGGTCCATGATTCTAATGACTTTCCGTTGAAACCCACACACTTCCCCCTACTGTCGCTTCCCCCTGTTCTGCTGTGGCCTGGCTCGGGCCTCACCTCAGCCTCCCGCCCCCCCACAGGGACCCAGAGCCTAGATGTGTGTCATTTCACAGTAATTATTGTGATCCTAACGCGGTGTGACAGACAGACCTCCTCCTCCTCCGCTCGGCCTCTCGGACACGAGATGGACGCCGATCATACGACAGCCTCTCTCCTCTTCCGGCTGCGTCTGTATTTTTAGATTCAGGATGTAATTGATTTGAAACAGCTTCAAAAATCCAAGATGTCGTTAAGTGAGAGGTTTTTGAAGCGTCGGCCGTTTAAAGGAGACGTCTATAACCTTTTTAGCTCTTGACCATATTGTAATATCGCTCCCTCATGCCATTGAATAGTTCTCTACACTACTCTACACTACTCTACTCTACACTACTCTACTCTACTCTACTCTACTCTACTCTACTCTACACTACTCTGCTCTGCTCTACACTACTCTACTCTGCTCTGCTCTACACTACTCTCCTCTACTCTGCTCTACTCTACTCTACACTACTCTGCTCTGCTCTACCCTACTCTATTCTACTCTATTCTACACTACTCTACTCTACTCTACTCTACTCTCCTCTCCTCTGCTCTGCTCTACACTACTCTACTCTCCTCTACTCTACTCTGCTCTACACTACACTACTCTCCTCTCCTCTGCTCTGCTCTACACTACTCTACTCTCCTCTACTCTACTCTGCTCTACACTACACTACTCTACTCTACTCTGCTCTGCTCTACACTACTCTACTCTACTCTACACTACTCTGCTCTGCTCTGCTCTAAACTACTCTGCTCTGCTCTACACTACACTACTCTACTCTACTCTACTCTACTCTGCTCTGCTCTACACTACACTACTCTACTCTACTCTGCTCTGCTCTACACTACTCTACTCTCCTCTACTCTACTCTGCTCTACTCTACTCTACACTACTCTGCTCTGCTCTACCCTACTCTATTCTACTCTACTCTACACTACTCTACTCTACTCTGCTCTGCTCTACACTACTCTACTCTCCTCTACTCTACTCTGCTCTACACTACACTACTCTACTCTACTCTGCTCTGCTCTACACTACTCTACTCTACTCTACACTACTCTGCTCTGCTCTAAACTACTCTGCTCTGCTCTGCACTACTCTACTCTGCTCTACACTACTCTACTCTCCTCTACTCTACACTACTCTACACTACTCTACTCTGCTCTGCTCTACACTACTATACTCTCCTCTCCTCTACTCTACTCTGCTCTGCTCTACACTACTCTGCTCTACACTACTCTGCTCTGCTCTGCTCTACACTACTCTGCTCTGCTCTACACTACTCTACTCTACTCTACTCTACTCTGCTCTACACTGCTCTGCTCTACACTGCTCTACACTGCTCTGCTCTACACTGCTCTACACTGCTCTACACTGCTCTGCTCTACACTGCTCTACTCTACTCTACTCTACTCTACTCTACTCTGCTCTGCTCTACTCTACTCTACTCTACTCTACTCTACTCTACTCTGCTCTACTCTGCTCTACTCTACTCTACTCTGCTCTGCTCTGCTCTGCTCTACTCTACTCTGCTCTGTTCTACATTACTCTGCTCTGCTCTGCTCTACACTACTCTACTCTGCTCTCCTCTACTCTGCTCTGCTCTACTCTACTCTACTCTACTCTACTCTACTCTACTCTACTCTACTCTACTCTACTCTACTCTACTCTACTCTACTCTACTCTGCTCTGCTCTGCTCTGCTCTACACTGCTCTACTCGACTCTACTTTATTCTACTGTGCTCGACTCGACTCTACTCTACCTGGTTGTGTTTCCATTACACTTCAGTTGTATCTGGGGAAATTCCTTGGTAACCATGGCTTCCAGCAGCACTGGTCAGCCACTGTCAGTCAGAACTCTTTAGTACCAGCTCAACCTGGATAGAATCAGGGCCAAGAAGGATCTGGTACTGGTTAAACAAGGCTAATAGAAATACTAGAGTAGAGTAGAGTAGAGCAAAGTAGGGCGGTTGGAAACCCCATATGGTACAGTAGTAAGTCATAAAATAGTCAAATACTTTAAATTTCATGTCGTTTTTTGTTATAATCTCAAACAGTTCTCCAATAACACTAGGACTCCCAGAGCAGTCAATGTGACGGCTTTTAGTTTTGGAAGAGTAATTACAGCTCATAGCTTTTTATAACTTTGTGACTTTTTCTGTTTCTAATGATCCTGGACAGGTTCTTGGCTGCTTCTGGACAGGCCCTGGGCTGGTCCTGGGCAGGTCCTGGACTCGTTCTGGACTTGTCCTGGGCTGGTCTTGGATTGGGCCTGGACTGGTTCTGGACTGGTTCTGGACTAGTCC